AGAAAGGATATGGTGAAACACTACATAACGGAAAACACTACATGCACATGAAAAAACTTAAACAAAGAAACAACGCTATTTTTGCTACTATTTCATATTATTTCATACATAGATATATGTGTAATTGCTGTTTAGATGTTTGGTCATAATGTTATCTGTTCTTCTTCTACACATTTTTGGTGACCCTTCATATTTACTTATTTTTATGCTCCTTTAACAATAGTAAGGAAGGTAATATTTTCTTGTCTGTCGTTCGTCCGAATGTCAGTCCGTCCGTCTGTACTTCTAGTATCAGGTTGAAGATTTTGGTTATGGTGGTTTACCAAGTAGTTGTGGTCATACCAACTTGAAACTTAATATACTATTTACCATGATGTAATGATACTATTTACCATGATGTAATGATACTATTTACCATGATGTTATGATACTATTTACCATGATGTAATGATACTATTTACCATGATGTAATGATACTATTTACCATGATGTTATGATAACTTTATAAATTGTATGCCAAATAAGGGTTTGGTTCCAATTTCCCGGTTCACTGAACTAAAGATATAAATAAAGTGCGAGCGGGGAGTGGTGTCGTATGGACCCAGATTCTTGGTTTATTTTGCCTTGAGTGAATCAGATAAAAAATATATACACCAAGAACATCACTTATTCACAATAATGATAAAAAAGAAAGACAACAATATGGAGTAAATACAAATCATAAGTCTATGAATAGCAGGAAACACGTCCCTCCCTCAAGAAAAATAACAATGAACAACCGCTGCACCGAGCAACAAGTATCCCATTTATTGCCGAGCATGAACTTCGGGAGAGTAAAGGTAAATTGCAATTAATGTTTAAAAAAACACGATTTCTGTTCTGTACTGATTCTGATGAAGTAATATTAAACGGATTAATATTTATTTCTATTTATCTCAGTTTATTAAATTAAATTCAGTTAAAATAAATTACTTTATAAATTATCTTAAATCTTATCAGACAAGCTTAACGGCATAATGTTAAACAGAATTTGATAATATTGTCAAATCGAGGGATATCTATTATATTAATGTTTTCATTTAATGCCAACACAATAGAAATATTTATTTTTGCTTTACGATTAGACGAAATTATAAAAAGGTTTTTGAGTTTAAGTAAATATTCCTATTCCAAACATTCATGTCAATATCAACACTACAACAAAGCCATAATGATGTCACACAAAATGGATTTAAGAAGTGCATAAGGAACAAGATTCTCAGAACATCTTTGGTTTTAATTCATGGTGTTCTGACGCCAATCTCCTTTCACGAACCTGTGTCCATGCTCAAACTAGAATTGTGAATACAGAAATAATTATTTAAAGACAACAGTTTTGAATATGCATTCGTTCTTTCTATCCTTTTAGTTATTAATTGGACGAAAAAGCTTTAACCGGTAAATAAGTGCGAACAAATGCTCAATAGGCGAATATAAGAAGGATTAACCTCGTTATAACCTAGATATTATATTAATTGATTGTTTGGTTACTTTACGTCCAGTGGCAAATACATGAATAATATGCCTTTTATGCCAAAGCTTTACTTTCAGTATCGTGTGCTGTCTATTTGTGCACATATCTTTATAACCAGATGTGTGCGTTTAGGGTTGTGTATACTATTATCATGGTCCTGCCGGGGTACCAACAACCAACTAATCAATATTCGACATTTTCAAGTTTTGATACGACACTTTGACGCCGTTGTAGTCCCTCTAGCCTATTTTTTAGTTCTTGTGTTTCGTTTTCTTGACAACTAAGTGATCATTGGTGTGCATTTGTCCGACTAGAGGTCTCGAGACTTGTTATGTTGCTTTGGAATTCCTGATCATTTTTTCAGTCCGAAATGTTGCACGTTCTAGAGGGTTGGTATCCTACATTTTGTACTTCTCGTTCCGCTCGTATGCATTCTTGTCTTGAAAGAGCTGTACTGTTTATGCATAAAAATCAAATAAAGAATTTGATAAAGAAATTGAAATTTTTATTAATGTTCATGTTTTAACTGTGAAATAAACCATTCCTATATTTTACAACAAAAGAAGGGTTCGGATTTTTCATTTCAATTAACATTTATTTAAATTCGTAGTCGAAACATGACTTGATAGTCAACGTCAGTATAACCATTTCAATAGAAAGTGTGTTTAATTTATTGAATTGTGTTGTATTCATTTAATTCTTATTACATAATAGTGAAACTTTTTGATAAGTTTTATTTTCAATACATCTATTGTAACTCTTGCGCCATTAATGAGGACTTTTTTTTCGCCTTGAAATGATTTCAAGTTCAGACGGTCACAGTTAACATAAAGAAATTTTTAAGTGTTACGTAGAGTTAATTGTCGGGATAGGAGTTTCGCAAAAGCCATTTAAACGATTAAATGAATGAATAAATAGATAAATAATTGCTAACAGATAAGGAAAAACATTCCTGGGCCTGTACTATTATTGTCCTACGTCTGGAATGCAAAAAGCTAACTGCACTTGCCCTCCAAATATAAAAAAATTCTTGACTCAACTTTCGGTCTCGGTGAAATGTCTTCAAATCGATGCCTATCGATGAAAGGAAATTAATTTTGATATATTTAGTGCATTTTTTAGTAAATTACTATCTATTGAAAAACTCTGAATTTCAATCACTTTAAGGGTAGTATTTTTTTTATATAAAAGGAAGATGAACTTTATAAATCAAAGAACAGAATGACAATTATTGTTTCTACACCTATACTTTAAATATTCAAAGTTGTGTTTGTTATTCATATGGGATATCTAACATTTAAAAAATTTATTGTGATTTTCATTATTTTGACAGGATAGACATGGAATACCATTATGTAGACTTGCTACAATTCCCTTTCTTTTATTTCTTTCTTACTAATTTATATGTTTACTGTTAACTTCCAGTATACTGATTGGCCTTGGAGAAACCTTCCTCTGCAGATGTCAGTATAATGGTAATCTCCTAGTTATAGCAGTAAAATTGTTAAAGGGGCAAATTAAAAAAAAATAATAAGGAAGGGACATGTAGCAAGTCTAACCATTATGTTGATAATATATTTCTAAAGCAACTTAAAGTGCATCTAAATAATTATTTCTTCAAAAGTAATGTCAAGTCAGAGAAAATAGATATCACTTTATGGACATGACATTTTATCAGTGGCACAAATTAACAGTTGCACACAAACAGTGGACAAAACAATTATCGTCTTTTATTGTGTAAATCGTCAATGTTTAGCACATCCTCTTCAAGGACGCAATATTGAAATATGTTCGCAATGAAATGTGCTGATAAATAATAATAATGAAAACAAATACTAAAAATGTTAGAGAGGTCATATAATGTTATCATTTTCCTCTCAAAATAACAAACGTAAAATAACAGCTGGCTTCGGTTGTGTTGTTTAGAAAAAAAATAACCAGTATCTTTTCGAAGGTAAATAACTATTGACTTTGGTTCCTTAATAAGCTGAAGTGTTACTTGTTTTATGTTCTCGACTCGTCAGTTATCACGTTTGGTCTAGAAATTGATTATATATATTATTTCAATTAAATCGGTACTCTGCTTAATATCTCTGACGTTACAATAATGAAATTCTTTTATAGCATATAAATGTTTTCATCTCCAGAAAATATACAAACAATCAATCGCAATACTAAGTTGGGGAAATACATACTATTAAGCATTGCATGCATGGTTTATAGACTTCATAAAAAAATTACCAAAATTCGTACATTTAACAATTACATTTTATAAAATAAATGACAACCGTAGTGAATTCACATTTTCAATGAAATAGCGTCAATGAATGCTTGCTTAACAATTTATTTTGTGTGACTGGCGAACAATAGTCTACTTTTTAACAAAGACAGCGCAAAGAGTAGCATCCTTTCGCATAAAGCTGATAGATGACTAGAACCTTATTTTTTTTTTGTCAAGATGGGATGTAAGTGATATTCTTTCCGTCCTGGACATGCATGAACTATTTGCCACTTGACGTTTAGCAACCAACAATCAATTAATGATATTCTTCGTTCTGCACTTGTGCGAAAGTATATACCCCTCCCTTCCAAAACCGATGAAAAAAATCCAATCTGCCAAATTTTTGTAAGGGATTCGAATACGTAAACTTCACAACTATGTCTTAAATTGTCCACAGGAATTCAAGTATAAAGCTGAACTGTTCTTTCCCTTGAAGATGCTGTGTAATTTTCAACATCATTGTTAACTTTACATTTTTTTCATCAATATATATTATTTTATGTAGTTGTAATGTGAAGATGAGCAATTTTATTTGAAGGTCATTTGAAATTATAAGTAATCATTAGTACTGAAGTTCGGTACAACATTATAAAATATGTTGATGGTTGTCCGCCAGAGAAACATGACGTCACTAACGTAAACTCCACGATATATAGTGAATTGTATTTAGGATGGGACATAAATTGTAAAGAAGTTACTGTTTGCCCGCAATATAAGACATTAAATTAGATTTATTAGAGTGCAGTTGCATTCTTTTATTTCGTGCTGTCATCACATAGGTATACGTAAATACTTAAGTGCTTTATAATGGTATATATAAGTGCTTTACAATAGTACATAAATTTTTTTTCAAATTCATGTTATTGAAACTATAAACGTATTTACACTTTTGGTATTTAGCTGAATTTTATCTCCGTATAACCTTGTGCTTTTCTCGTCTGCTTTGCTGCGAGTACAAATAAATATAATATCTTAATAATTAAGTATTGAGCTCAATTTGAAACTGTAAGCGCGTACGAAAATATCAAAATTAAGCACGAATGACATTTATAAACCATTGTCAGAATTTCAATTCTCAGCGTTTTGATGGAATTTTGTTAAAATCTATATGAACTATGCCATAAACTTTCTACACGGTTATCTGCTGTAAAAAAAAGGAGTATGAAGGAGCTTTCGATGACGAAACATGTTTTTTTGTATTTTCAGGGAAACCAGTTGTCCTACACGATAAGGTTGCAGCGTTAAGATCTGAAAAAGAAGGAGAATCAAGAACTCCCACTCCTCCACCACATTTAAAGGCAGCATTAGGGTAAGTTTAGACATACCTCTCTACTTCGTCAGGAGACTGTAACGGTAATTATGACCTCCTCACCATTATCAAGTAAAAAGTAAATATGATATACTTTTACAAATAAAGTTCAGCTATAAACGTATTTACACTTTTGATATTTAGCTATATTTTGCCTCCGAATGACCTTAGATCTACTCCGAATCACCTTTTGACGTCAGGCAACAATCACTTTTTAATTGTGACGTCAAATGTTTTGAATTATGGTGTCAAAGTTTACGGGAACCTGTGTGATTTTACGTAATGGCGGACAAATAATTTGCATACAAGTGTAAATACGTCTATTACTTTACGTGTACAGGTTTTAAAAAGGGTATATTCCTTTTGGAACCGTGAGTAAGCATTGAAGCCTTTTATTATGTCAGCAGCACGAAATGACTATTCTTTATAGAGGGCCTCCAACTCAACATTCCTATGAAGTTTGAACAGATTTGATCTCTTAGTTTCAGAATAGAAGAAATCTGAAAATTGACCAACCCGAAAATCCAAAACCCGAGAATCCAAAATGGTTTCTGATGGTCGTATTTTTCGCTTAATAAATCTATGAATGACCTTAGAATATATATCATTTCCGATATTGTACATGCAGTTTCAGAGAAAAAAATAACAAACTTTCTGAGGAAAAGAAAATTGACAATTGACCACCAGAACCATAAACTTTGTTGGGAATGGTTTTTTTTCTTGCCTAAAAACCACAGGCACCTGTCCGATTTTTTTTTACATATATACCTTAATGGTAGAAAACTTCATATATGTGCATGACAATTTGAAAATTCAAGTTTTTCAGCAATGGGGACCTGAAAACGTGTCAACACTATTTGGCATAACTAGATGAAGCTTAATACCAAAGAATAGATGCTATATCTTGTAGTTTCTGAGAAAAAAGACAAAAGATATGTTACCGACTGATGTTAACCAGTTTACCCCTCCTTTGCCAAATTGGAGTGGGGGTGTATTGAAGATTCCTGTATCCATATATATCATCATTCTTTACCTTCAGATGAGTGGGGGTGTATTGAAGATTCCTGTATCCATATCATCATTTTTTACCTTCAGATGATTAGGCCTCAATTTTTCATAGAGAAAAAAAAAGAATTTAATCAACATCAGTTATTGCTGATGACAGCCATATTTTTTTTTTATCTAAAGTTGGAACAGAATGAGAATATATTATAAAAGGATCTTTCATGAACGATTTTTCCGGTCTAATTTGATTCAAAGGCTAGAAAAGCTGGTGAAAATATGAAAAGTTATAGGCCAAGGACATCAAGCGATGGCAATACATCACAATGCCAACTAGGACAAAGAACAAAAATCCACATTTTACTGTACATTGCAATTGAGATTTGAAAAAAAATAGGAGTATTCAAAGAGAAAAACACTAATACCTGTTTTGAAAAGTTCTATTAAGGACCATACACAATTACATAGACAGACATAATGATCTCTATTTACACTCTCATTGGAAATTGTCAAAAAAAAATATCTGAATTTAAACAGTTTCCATTTGCTAGTAGTTTCTGTTCTAGTGAAATATGAAAAAAACATTTGTTTGTTTCAGACCTGGAAGGCATCAAAGCTCAAGTCCAACAGACTTTCTCCATAAAAAGACCAAGAAAAGGCTTGAGGCAACAGTATGGTCCCAACCAAATGACATTGCACCTTCACCAAGGTCAAAAGGTTTACAAAGTGGTGCTGGAAAATCACAATTATCCCCCTTAGCTAATCAATATGGACAAATGACAACCATGGAAAAGAAGACTTTAGACAAGACAATACATAGTTTGTTACAATGATTCTAATTGGATGATCGTGTGTTAAAAAAACTGTGTTCAAATATTGTGTTGTGCTAACTTACCTGGTACAAAAATCTTAATAATAAACTCTGTGATTCATTCATTCTTTTTCAACCATTTATTTTTAAAATGGAAAATACTAACGAAAATAATGACATCTTTTTTCAAATTGATAATTTTGCTTTTATTATAAATTGTACAAGTATACATAAAACAAATAGAATTATTATACGTCATGTTAACATACCAGATTTTGATTGGTTAATACGAGGGAGACAATGTACTCTATCCAATGGAAAAAATCTATTACCCTTCACGGAGACGCTTGCTCAAGTGTGCGCTTTAATAAATACGGATGATTGTTATGTACATGACGACACAGTTTATTACTTTGAAATTTAATAGACAGTAATAACAGAACATTCAGTATAATAAATTAAATAACACATATCTGAGAGGGTGATAGAGCAGATTGGTACCCCTCGAAAAGACATTGTCAACCTTGGCTTCGCCTCAGTTAATAATGTTTTCTCGGGGTAACAATCTGCTCTATCACCCTCTCAGCTATGTGTTATTTATATATTGTTACATTGAAAATTGTCCCATGAACAGAACCAATATCAGAAAGTTGTTACATTTAAAACTTAGTAGAATTCAAATAAATATTAAGGTGTAAAGAAATGATATGGTGACAAATACTCATTATATCAAAATATTATTCAGTCCAACACATTCCTGTTGAAATCAATTTTGATTAAATAGTTCAAATTTTACATCTTTTTGGTTTGGACTGTTTTCATTTATCAGAGAAAAAGTCAAAATTGTCAAATTCTATCACAATAACATATAGCAAAGCTGTGATACTATGAACTTTGGTAAAGATTCCATAACTTGTTCATTTTAACTCTGTTGGTGAAAAAGATCAATCTATTCATTCAATCTATTTGTAGCAATCCTAGAAGAGGAAACATTCAAACTTAAAACATTGATCTGTTCCAGTAATCAAAATGCAGGAAATGAACTAAAAATCTCGTTAAGTTAAGAACTTGTAAAATATGGCTTATAATTAAAATTATTTTTTTTGTGAAAAACAAATCTGTTTCCTAGAAGCTTTAAAAATTTTCAGTTTATATAAGAAGAGGTTGTCAGAGAATAGTGGTGCTTAAGATGTACAGTTGAACCAAATAAGATTTAAACAATTGATGAAGTTTAAGATTTTACTTTGTTGACAACCTGCAAGAATCAATAACTGTTAAGAATGTCAGCAGATTGAAATTTAATATAACAACCCTTAGTGTTAAAATTACTTCACAAAATTTTCAAAGGCATCATTAATTGTACTTAGAACTTCAGGTTGAAGCAGAAAAATCAAAGTAGTGCCAATATATTCAAGGGTGGAGGGCCTCCACACTTGGAAAGGTTGTGGTGATCCAGAAATTTTGTTTGTCATTAAAAAAGTTAGTGTATGAACCCCTTTATTTGATATGTGCCTTGCAATTTGCATAAAATAAATTTTTAGCACCTATAATTAAAATTAATTCATCCTCTTATTATATTGTCAAGAATATGGATGAAATGCTTGCTACTTGACCTTAAGCAAAGAGCAATTAGTCTTTATAAAAGATTTTCAATCTCATGTAATAAAAACAATATAATGTAATAATGTTTTTATATAATTTTCACAGCTCATGCAGCATTAAGTGTCTTACATGTGTATATGAATATTTATGAACCCCTCCCTTTGTGATACTGTTATTATCCATATATGTTAATAAACTGTGTTATGTTTAATGTTGTTTTTTTATTTGAACTGTTCATACTTCTGCATAAACAAATTAAACTGTGGAAATTGTCATGCCATATTATCCTTTCAACATTTATATTCTTTCTGTGATTTTCATACTAGTATGACAAATGATTGATATCTTTTTAATTTCATGCAGTTTCACCATGGATGAGCTGTCATGATAATAGAGAAACCAGAAATGAGGTATCAAATTGACAGCAAACCCAGTTTTCTGTATTTTGAAGGCATTTTCAGGCTTGTTTGACCTGCCATGTTCTATGCTAATTTTCCAATCTATCAAGGACCATAACTCCTAAAGGGCAAAAGCGTAAATCATCAATATTGAACTTCCATTTTGTCATCAGTAAAAAGATATGAAACTATTTAAAAAAGCACTGGTGGAACACTTCAAAAGTTATTACACAGAAACGACATAAAGTGCCATTTTCCAATATATCAAGGACCATAATTCCTGAACGGTAAAACTGAAATTGTCAGTATTTCATTAGGGGACGACCATTTGATATTCTGGGGGGGGCCAGGAGGATTTTGAAAATAAATAACTCAGCCTTGATAATCACAAAAATAAATGGTTTGTTCTGTGGTAGTTTGAAAATAAATTACCTGACTTGCAATGTATTGAAAATAAATAACTCAGCAGGTCTAATCGAAAGTATGAGATGGCACCAGGTTCTTCATAAATTCATCTTTTTTCCAAAAAAAAATCGGGAAACACTTCCCATATCTTTTAATAATAAAAGTATAAATATTATTTAAATATACTTGAAATGTCAGAAAATTGGTTTCATTTAACTTGAGGTTAATTGTCTCAGGAACACCTACCTCACTTTTATTAAATCAGGGCCGTAACTACATTGAGACAAATGCCTCATGTAGGAAATTTCAAAACCAAACGCTAGTCTCAATATCAAATTGTGTTCACCGTGAGTGCCTTGCAAGAAGCAAGTTCTGTTCTCCCTCAGACCTAGCCCCTGATTTTTCGGGATCAATGTTTCTTATTTATTTGTCTTTTGTTCATTGATTGCCCTTCTGTATTCTGTTAGTGTTGCATTCATTTTGTAATTTAGTAATTTTATTATTAACTTGATCATGAGTTTAAAAAAACACAGCAGCCACAGACTTAACTATGTGAATTACATTTTTGCTTTATCATGCATATTTGTCTTTTGATGTTGTTCCTAGAAACTTAAGTCTTACACTGAATCTATAACGTGATTTTGCTTTGAGACCAAAATATTGTCATAAAATTATTAAAACAGAACTTGCATTTTCAGTTTAAGAAAGGGTCTGGGGAACACCCAGAAGGCATGATTTTGCGTCATTTTTTCTATAGCTTCTTGGGCCTTCAGCGGTTCAAAAACCCTTAAAAAAATTTTTGCCTCGCTCCGCTCGGCGAAACATGTTTGCCAATACTTTTAAAAGAGCATTAGTTACAACCAAACTTTAATACTGTGTATGTATGCAATACATGTATATGCATTGGGGAATACAGAAGATTCATTTCTGCAGAGGATACTAATTAATTCTGATAATGGTACATAATGACTTGACTATACATGAATTATTTATAATAAACAAATAATTTAAAAATTGTATGTTTTCGAATATTATAAATATAGTTGTGAAAATAAATAATCAGTCCCTTGCTTTAATGAAAATGAAAAATCTTGCTTCAATAGTGCAGAAAATAGATAATCTGTCCTCTTAGTTTACAAAAATAAATAACCGATCCAAAACAAATCCTCCTGGCCCCCCCCCAGAATATCAAATGGTCGTCCCCTTATAATTTGAAAACCATCAGTGGAAAGGTTCAGAGGTTAATACACGGAAATTACATAAAGTGTCATTTTCCAAAATATCAATGATCTTGGTATGGTAAGGAATGGTAACAGTGAAAATGGCCAATATGGAACTTGACCTCCATTTCTACATTGGTATCACCATATTAAAATTTGAAAAGCATTGGTAGAACGAGGATTTCTTATCGTCGAGTTGCAAGTTGCGAGTTGAAAAGGCCGAGTTGCCGGATTTACAAAAGTCGAGTTGCGAGTTACGAAAGTCTAGTTGCGAGTTACGAAGGTCGAGTTGCGAGTAACGAATCGGAATGTCGAGTTGCGAGTTACGAAGGTCGAGTTGCGAGTTACAAAAATATTATGTTTCTATAATTTCTTAAGAATTATATATATATATAAACGGTCGTGTCGTCTGATTTTTGAAACAAACAAAGCATACATGTACCCGAACTTAGTTATACACTGCATGGGGAAGGGTCCCGGTATTTTGATTGCAGGATTTGAAAGAGTTATGTGATACTTATTTATAAGAGTCTATATGTTGCAAAGTCACGCACGCTTAAATTTCTTTCATGAGAGCGACATTGTTCATTTTCTAAAATAAAACAGGATATACTGTAGATATAACTAAAGACAAAATGTATACCGTACTGAACAAATCAAGCATAACAAATAAAGCATGTCGACAAATGATCGAAATAAACTTGCAAATTATCGACATCTCACAGAATATGGCACTGTGTTAGGCCTTAAGTAAATATACTTATCAAAGGTACCAGGCTTATGATATTTTCTACGCCAGACGCGCGTTTCGTCTATACAAGACTCATCAGTGACGCTTGAATAAAGGATATTCATTAGCACCCCGAGTGCTAACTCTTCGTCTTTCGCAAAGGTTTAGGGTGATATAGGCACAATTGCACATTTAACTTAGGAAAATATCTCATGAATTAGTCAGAAATGTGATATGTTATGTGCTTTATGTTATAAATTAAATAATTTTGAACTTTGTTAACTTTGTGATTCAAACCCAAGCGGGGAGTGCATATGTATACCAAATAGTTAATAATCGAGTTGTTCAATGTATGTATATCTGAATACTACAACGCAAAAATAAGCATGCTATAGATGTCTTTCTATGAAATTATGGTAACTTCCTGGCATAGATCATAATATGTTTTTTTTTTAATTTGGAAAGACGTTATTCTACAATAAGCTATACCGCTGTTACAAAAAATAAAGGAACAGTTTTAAGGAATGTTTTGGTGTGTGTTTTTACGGTATGATCACGGAAGCCTTGTCTGTCACAAGTTTACTTTTTTACCTGCATGCATCCTTGATACAAATGTTGTATTTTCAGATATCAGCTGGGTATTGTACATTTTTGTATGATTAACCCGTTTTCTAGTAAGAAGTTACATATTCCAAAACTGCGTCTTTTGTCCCTTTTACAAAAGTATCTTTGACAGCTACATGTATAGAATAAAGAATGGAAACGGGGAATGTGTCAAAGAGACAACAACCCAACCAAAATATACAAGTCAACCCAAGACCACCAATGGGTCTTCAACACAGCGAGAAATCCCACACCCAGAGGCAGCCCCGAAACACAATGTACACTAGATCAATAAAATAGACGCCATTCTATGCTCCGAAACATATAGATGAACCAAAATTAAAACATACAAGACCAACAAAGGCTAGAGGTTCCTGACTTAGGACATACGCAAAAATGCGGCGGGGTTAAACAGGTTTTATGAGCGCCCAACCTCCCCCTTCACCTCTAGCCAACGTAGACATATATAACTTAAACGTCCACGATTTTGAGTGTCACTGCAAAAAAATACATTTTGGGGTCCCTAACAAATATTGCCTCTGCAGCTGCCCCAAAGAGCCCACTCTTAACGAAATTTGCAGATGGAGTCTTTTACATATATGTTCTATAGTTTAGTTGCTATCTCCATTTACGTTTAATATGACGGTGCTACTAGCTATAAAATTTTAATAATAATTAAACTACAAGTCATCTGCTGTATTTCAAAAGGCTATCTGTTTCTTCCGACAATAACCATACTTTGCGTAGTGATTATGTAAGCAATCCATTCATTTTTTTACACGAGACTCAGATGAAATACAAACAACAAAAAGAATCAACAATACTGTAAACAATTCTATAAGCAATCATCATTCAAAAATGTTAAAGAGATACACCAAAAAATTTAAATGGTTTTCCCCATTTTCACAAAAATCTAATTTCGTAACTCGCAACTCGACTTTCGTAACTCGCAACTCGACCTTCGTAACTCGCAACTCGACCTTCGTAACTCGCAACTCGACTTTCGTAACTCGCAACTCGATACTCGACAACAAGTGAATATCTGGTAGAACAGTTCATAAGTTCTTGCACAAAAACTGAAGGCAGCCGCCCACAGCCCACCACCCGCTTACATTTTAATAACCAGAAACCACATGTAAATAAAATGCTTCAACGAGCGCAGCCTGATGCGACCGCAGAAAGTTTAATTTTGGACCCTTCAAACCTTAATATGGACTAATTTGAAAACAGGGCACAAATTCAAAAAAATATTAATGCACAATAAGATTCAGCATATCATAGAGCCGCAATACTTCAGTTTTTGATGAAATCAAACAAAGTTTAATTTTGGACCTTCTGGACCTCAATGTAGAACAATTTAAAAATGGGGCCCAATATCCAAAATAGTAATACAAGGTTAGAATCCCTAAATATTAAAGACTTTAAATTAATCCCATTTAAATTGGTTAAAACAGTTGCACAATACTTAGTTAATCTGTTATAAATAATAAATTTCACACCCTGTTTGGTGTGTATCTCCTGCCATATCAGTATTTGTTGCTTTTTTTTTTATATAAATCAGAAATAATCAATGTAAAAATGGAAAATTTTTGGAAAATTATGAAAAAAAAATCCCCCCAAAAAATTGTCCCCTCCCCACCCCAAAAATTTTTTTTTGAATCAAATTTGAAATTTTCAAAAATTTTGAGGAAAAAAAATAGGAACCTCCCAAAAAAAATTTGAAAAAGAATCCCCCCCCCCCCAAACTTTGAAAACCCCCCTTCCCAAATTTTTTTTGAAATTTAGAAGATTATTTTCTTTTCAGGAAAAATGTACAATTTCAGAGAGTTCCATAAACTTTAACACAAGTTATCATCTGGAAACTAGAAAAATGCTTGTTTTTGGCCCCTAATTCCTGAGCGTTTGGGGCAATTACCCCCAAACTCAATCTTCCCTTTGTGAATATGGAACCTTGTGGTACAATTTCAGAGAGATCCATACTCATACACAGAAGTTGTTGTCTGGACACTACAAAAATGCTTGTTTTTGGCCACTAATTCCTTAACTGTTGGTACCATAACCCCATAAAATCAATCCCAACCTTCCTTTTGTGGTATTGAACCTTCTGGTAAAATTTCATAGAAATCCATTCACTTAAACTAAAGTTATTGTCCGGAAACCAAATGTGTCTTCGGATGACGACATGATAGCATTATATGAACGCAAATTGTTTGCAGCTGTATAAAAACTGTCATGAATTACAATTTGCAGTATTCTACTGTCATAGATTAATAGAAAAAAATGTATTAATTAATGATAACAAATCCCAGCATGCAATTGACAAAACCGAAAGCAAAAAAGTGTTTTATTGCTGTGATTCATCTCAAAGTGTTGCTACCAATATGGAGTAAAGCACCAGTTTCATCTGATTTCTTTGCTAGATTTCAATCATATTACATCTAGGCACAGAAGAACTGAAAAGCCGGCAAATATCAACAATTTAGTTTATGTTTTAAATTTATCGCCGTTTTATTTAGATTTCAAATTTCAGGGTGTGAATGTTTCTAATGAAGGTCAATTCAGAAAAGCAATCCAGACTCACCAAATTAAAAAAGTAGTATAAGCAGTCTTGATATATAATCTGTTCATCGGTAACTATGTAAACTGTACATGTGTAGAGGCCAATATAAACTATACATACATAAGATGGAAACAAAATATTCAAAAAACTACAAACTCTAACTAAAGGAAATTACCAGTATTTCTTTTTGTAGCTGTGTATACACTGTAACCATCAAATGTAAGTAAAATCAATTTATTCAGCATTAAAGTTTTTAGGGTCAAGGGCTTTTCTCAAAACACCAAATCCAGTACTTTGATTGGTTGATTTGTGAGTCTGAGAATGTTAGTCATGCTCCAAAATTTTATGAATGCAAAGCCAGCAAAAAAAATGAAAAAAAGCAAAATTGCTTCTAGCAATCGAAAAATTGAATTTCTATTGATCAAAGCACATACCTGCTTATTTTGCTGGAATTATCCGGCTAAAAATGTGAAGAAAACATGTCTTTTTTATCATTCATAAGTCCAGAACACAGTAAGGTAATGTGTTAGGACTTTTCACTTTGTGAAGTATTATAAATAGTTTCCCTCTTAAGTGAAATCCAGTTTGTCATCAGTGTGAGCAGAATCAAGATGAGGCAAAAATACCTTGGTCCTTTGGTAACTTCAAGCTTATCACTTGCTCCTGAACAGTACACCTCAGAGAATTCTGAAGTTTGTAATAGTAACATGTTATTTTTACTGGTTCTTAAGATTTCTTGCAATTTTGTAAAGTGTAGCTAGCTGAAAAGTAATCTGCTCTCTAGATCTTTGCTATACATTAATAGCATAAGGCTAACTTTTATTGCTTTTGTTGATACTTTCTAGACTATTATTCCACCCTACATTGACCAATTCATTTCTTATTAAGGGATATTGCTGTTACCATCTAAATAAATGCAGCTTTATGTTCCTAGTTTGATTATGTTTTCATTTAGCCATAAAACTGGCAAAATAGGGTTCATTAAGGTCTGAATTTTTTAATGCCATAAATTCACCAATTTTTGTGTGAACTTATTATTGCAATTTTTCAATAAAAAGCTGCGCCAAGAGCGCATGATATGCCCGTTGCTTTCTCAAAACATTTTTGAGTTATTGTCCGAAACTGGAATATCCCCCTTTTTTTTAGAAAAAAACTCCCATAACTCAGAAACGTCAAATCTAAAATTTATAAAAATCAAAAGGGAGCTTACGTCAATAGATATAAACTATTCACCAAAGTTTCATGCAAATTGGTTAAAGTGTTTTTGAATTATAATCCAACATGTTGACTATGGACAGACAGACGGATGGACGGACGGACAATGGTATACCATAATATGTCCTGTTAACGGGCGTATAAAAAAGGAAAAAAATGTGGGATCAATTATTGCACTTTCAGAAAATTGTCCACACAAATCAAATTTTTAAATGCATTTTTTATTTTTGTGAAACCTGTCCTGTCACATCTTTTGTAATAATAGAAACATCCTTCATTTTAAAATTGGTTGAGGTCCATGCAATAACATTTTTCTTTTACATTGAAAAAAGTTTTTCTTACATCTGATCAAAAATCAAAAGTACTTCAGTGCTTTGCCATTCAGATTAGCATTAGAATAGTTAAATGATAAAGTAGAAGACAAAGTAACAATGGAAAATTTTATTACTGTCCTTTGTAAATCACAGAAAACTTAAACATGACTTTGACATTACTGTTATTAAAATGACCTTGAAAAACATCACAGTTTTAAAAATTAAGTTAATATTGGTCAATTCTGTTTTTCTATTTGATCTCTTATCAACTGGTAACCACTTCTGAAAAAGAAAAATATTTTGATTAATCTGACCTTTCCCAACTCAGAAATGATGCTAATGTTTGTGTCAGATCTTAATTATTCATCAAGATCTGACACAAACATATTTGCATCGGATCTAGATGAATAATTTAGTTTAAAGTATATTGTACAATGTCTTAAGTACTATTGATGAATAAGTCAGAAAATTTTCAACTCAAGCAGATAAGAGTACAGAAAAAATGACTATAAATGAGCCCAAGGGTTTTATTAGGGAACAAATAACTCAGGCCAGATGACATGAGGTATTTAAGCCAGCTTGATATCATTTCAAAAACTCTTGATTTACTGATCATCTTTTCTTGTTTACTTTGTTTTTTTGTCACTAAATAATAGATCAAATTGGAATTCATGGACATTATATTCATTTCTTTGTTTTTCACCATGTTTTTTGATTGGCATTGTTTGATAAAAAAAAATGTCATAATTTGAGAAACTTGTGCTAAATAAATGTGTTTTTCACTGGTTCTCATATAATTTTGAACAAGATCTTTTTGGGGAAATATTCTTTTAACATACAAAGGTTTACCAAAAGTTAGGTTCAGCCACATAGACTTTTTTTTATTTTGTTTTTTGCTTTTGCGTAGCAAGAATGAACGAAGGTACATCAATTGAACCAAACACATCGCCATCGCCATATTAAATTAGAAGGCTTCCTTCATACTTTGAATGCGAACTTTATTTTACTTGAAATCAACCACTTACGCTACATTGAAGTGACGAATATATCTTTATTTTTCAATTGATAAATCTTTTTAAATTCCTTTAAAACAAATTGTATATTAAAAAGCAAGATAAGATAATGCTTCGTCTTAAAAGGGTTAGTTTTCCTAAATCGAGGACGTCATAAATCGAGGACGTCATAAAGCGATGATGTCATGTCCAACATAGTATAAACTGTTCCATTCTGCAAGATAAAAATGTCTAAATCTATCCAATTCCTGATTCTAAACTCCATTCAATGACAAAATCTAAGAATCAAAAACAGACAACACCATTATATGAAGATATAAGAGAAAAGAATTCCTTGCAAAGATCCTATTTTTATTAAACTATGTAACTTACTTTCAAGATCTGTCATATCCAATTCTCTTAGTTGTTTCTTGTATTTGGTAAGGCTAGGAAAAGACTCTGTTGACATCAACTTCAAACACATCTTAAAACACAAAGTGAATTAAATTAATTATATAATGATTGGTTACATAGATATTAAAAGTCATAAAAACCCAGTTGGTGAAATGAAAAACAGAACAATAAAATAAATGCAGTTCACTAAACAGTCTATTATGGAATTCCCAATGTCAGAATCTTAAGGCTTGTGAAAATAATTGAATTTTCTTACAACAACCATGACGTTGGTTAAATTTTCCATCCTCAATCTTGTTGTACACTTACAACTCCATAATTATTTACTCTATAGGAACAAATCTATAACACATCATTCCTATGCATCCTGTTAGAGAACAGTCCTTCATAAATATATGTCAACAATTTCATGAGTTTTTAATGACTGAAGTCAATAACCCGAGAGAGACTGCAACATGATTTAGATACCATAATTACACCTTATTGGGGATTCTGTATTTTGATTAGTTGTTACTAGTGAATTTTACTTGTATTTTCTTTTCAGATGAAATTTTGTCATATATTTATCACCACCACAGGGTAGATACACAAGAATACCCTTCACAGGGACACTAGATCACTTGTGTGCTTTATTAAATGTATCTGCTTTGCAAATGGCTTGATAGAAAAAGAAAGCAAATGGGTCGATAGCGAAAGATTGATTGATTAGTAATTGCTTTACGCTGCCCATAGCGAAAGAAGAATGGAATTAAATTTCAAATGTTTAACTAATTCATCTTTAGATATATTCTGTGACAGATTTAGCATATTCTGCACAGCTCTTTGTGCAAAATTCCAGTTGAGAAAAGGTAAAATTTCCTGAGCTGCTAGACCTGATATATCTGTTCAAAAGTTATGTTTTTGTTTCTTGTTGTTAAAAAGAATTCCTTCAATTGGAACAGATAGATATTAAAATATTTTCATATCAGAAGGCACTTGGTATTTTAATAACACACTACTTACTGTTGTTTTATCCAGATCTTTTTCTTTAATAAACTCATCTAACAACATAGTTACTGCCTCCTCACTAATGTTTAAAAGATAAGACAAAATAAGTACAAAAAAAGATAATTAACAGACTGCTGTTGTCTGTGGTATAAAGCAATAAATGTATAATGACTAGAAAATTATTATCAAATTGATTTTCCACCAGCTTTTAGAACTTTTGTTAGAATTTTCCAACAACTAAATTTTACCATGCTGAGTTGTTTTTAGAAAATACCTAATTTTCTTGTATTTGCAAATATCTGCATATGAGCTTTACCCTGCTACTAATGCTTATTGATGACAATAAAGCTACTATCAATAATCACATGCTGGGGCGTGTTAGGGTTGTGTAGGAGGTATCTTTGCCCAAAATTGAATCATCTTCAGGAAAAAGCGTTAATTTAATGGAAGACTTAGGGATGCTGATAGGTGAAGCTTGCAATAGCCTGCATGACGAGTGGGCTTGAGGGAACACAAACCACAAAAGTGCTAAGCTCTGAGAGAAAAAATTAATAACATGGCAGTCTACAGAAGGTTGTTTCAACAAAAAACCTGAAAATTTACTATTTTTCCTGATTTTTTGCTGAACCAGGACCTGCAGCCAGCTGTTTTAGTCACTACTGAAGCGTATCTCAATAATAGAAGTTCTATCCAAGAAAGTGATATTTTAAAACTTCAAGACCTCTGTAGTGTGTATGCAAGATAGAGATGGGAAGCCAACCCCTCCGAAATTGCCATTTTTCTCAAATTTTAATTTTCAAAGCTCAAAGAACTTAACAATAAATTGCCACAGGTTGAGGGATCAAGCCTGAATCTTTAACACAATATACTACAGCTATAAACCTCTGAAAGTTGGAGCAAATAAATACAGATATGGGACAGAGACCATTATATTACAACCCTCCATTGGTAAGGGTAATGACTTAGAAAGGAATCAAACTTGCATCTTACGTTACATTGCCATATCACTATATAAACCTAATTTCTCTGTTTTATACACCAATCTCGAGTTGTTTTTTATGAATAAGTTACACCTGTTGATCCAAGATCAATAGGTGTAAATTACATCATTGAACAATCTGTTCTTACAGTGAAGTAATATCATAAGCATTGTGATATAGAAAATGTATGAGAATTTGAAAGTTGTAATTAATAATTGTAAATGGGTATTCTTGTAATAGGAATATCAATAAGCTACCACAAACATCTTGCAACTTACCTTATCTGTTCTGTAAATCTTCTTTTGTGCTTTGTGTACATCATTAAAATTTTCCTAAAATGATAGTACAGAGACCTAATAAGAACAAGAATCCTTTTGACTTTTACCAGGATCCATTAAAAAAAATAAAAGCTATCCTTTGGAAAATAAATTGTCAATTAATGGATTTATTGAATGATTGTAATAAATGCATTGTCTATACATTCATGCATCTTCACATTGATCAGTAAACTATGCCAAATATGAGTAAAAAACCTATTATGCATAACATTTTAAAAGACATTCAGAACAGAAAACATAATGCCCTCTATTATTGTAGGTGAGGTATAAAAATAAAGTAAAAGATAAAAATTAGCTGAATAAATAGTATATGAAATTGTGTACTTCAATATATTTTGTAGAAGACAATAAAAATGAATGTTCAATTTGAATACCTCTGTCACTATATTGTTCTTGTAAGGTTGTTTTTTTAAAATAACATTAAATTTTATCTAAAAAAACAGATAAGTATTCAAATTCTAGTTTGGTAATTATTTGACAGTTTAAAATACTGATACCATGATCTGCTTAATATCAAACTTTAATTTGACATTGTGGTAACAACAGACATTAATTTCAAACACACATATTTTGTATTACCTGTGACAAGCCTTATAAAATTTATTAATTGGGTCAGCAAAAACAAAATCTATCTGCCGAAATTCAATGAAATTTCTATATATTTACAATTTTCCTGCATTGGTTTTTTCCAACAAATTTATTTCCATTGGAAGCAGTTGTCTATCTTATCTAAATTGCAGCATTTAGGGCACTGCTTGTCAATAAACATGACCCTTGTTCAGATACCTTAAAATAGAGTTCCAGTTCAAATCATTGAAGCATCAATATTCATTTTACAGTTTGAAGTAGTTGTTACCAATCATTGCATATTGTGTGTTTTTGGCAGACTTTTCAATAACTACATGGTATTTCAGAGTTTTTATTTATATTGTGAATTTTATTGTTAAACACTGAGTTTACCTAGTGATGTGTATCACAACTAGGTGAACAAATAGTTGTGCCAGTTTACTGGATTTACTTTGCAAAGCTACAGCTTATTTGAGAGTGTGCACAAAACAATGAATTTAAGTTTGGAGATGAATATCATTGAATATTTGATTGTAATTTTTTTCAATCAAAAACATAAAGGATTTAAAACCTATTTTATAATACATAAGACAGTTAAATTTTCTGAACTTATGTGGAAACCAGTCATGAACAAACTTTGTTCATTTATAAAATAATATTAATATTTTTCCTCTAAGCTAGTGACTTTTGTAACCTCCCTTGTTTTGTATATATTGTAAATAGTTATTGTTGTTGTTATCTCTGTACTGATGTGATGCATTGGCTTTATGAGTATAAAGCTACATATAAGTTAGCTTGTTTGTTTGGTGGGGCATGAAATCAACATGACCTTTGTCTACTAACTAATTTTAAAAAGAATAACAACTGTCAAGTTATTCGCCAAATTTGTGACACAAAGGATTATTGATTAACCAATTTGTTTCCATATTTATAATAGCTACTAAAGAATTATAGAACAAAACAAATAAACAAACTGTTTTGTGCACATTGTTTGAATAAAATTGCAGTAAAACACAAGATATTTTGATGGCAGATCAATTAGTCTAGGATAAATTTATTCATTTTCTAAAGTCAGTACAACTTAGAGCTTGATATATTATATAGATATAAGAAGATGTGGTATGAGTGCCAATGAGACAGCTCTCCATCCAAATCACAATTTGTAAAAGTAATATTTTTCCTCTAAGCTAGTGACTTTTGTAACCTCCCTTGTTTTGTAACCTTGATATATTGTAGACTTTTATCTATTAGGTTAGGCTGTGTTTTGACCCTTAAGATGTCTTTTTGTTTTGTTGTGTTACTGTCATTAACCTATAAACCCATATCTACTTTTAATGATATCAATTTAGTTTTTAACATAATCTTAAACAAAAATCCTTCCTTTCTGTTTAAGTTCAAAATTCTTTAACCTGAAACTGCTTGAAATATTATTGAAAGTGGACACCTACACATTATATAAACAACAATAATTTAATTTGGAATGTAACACGTCTTCTGGTTGGCTGAAAGTTTTTTGTCTCATAGACATAATTTTGTCATATGACGGTGACGTCATCAATGTTTTTTCATGATTTACTCCTTAAAAATGGAATTTAGAATTAAATCATAAGGAATGACTGTAATATTTAAGTGTAAAATTTTAAGATAATATTTTTTATTTGTTTGGATGCTTCAGTTTAGGATACAGTCTGATTTAATTAGGGCTGTTCCAGATTTAAACACATGGGACGGACTGGAGGCACTTAATTAATAAATTGTGGGTGGTTGCATTAGAATTTGTAAGAATTATAAGTAAAATGAAAATTTTATATTATGGGTGGTTTGGGGTATTAAAAAGTGCCTCCCTTCCCCCTGCATTGTGTTTAAATCTGGAACAGCCTTTACCTACTTTTAATTCAATAGAGGTATATTTTATAATGCTTTAAAACTTAAGATTTACTTACCAAGCCAAGTCTACTTCATTGGCATTGAGACTAACTTTGATAAGTTCTCCTACTAACACTCCTGATGTCAATCTGTAAACAAAGGGACAAGATAATTCTATAACATTGTTATGTCATTGACAAAATATCCAAGTTAGTCAAACCTGAAGAATAACACCATCAAATATCTACTTAGTCAAAACAATATCTCAACGAAAGAATTTTTTCTCTAAATTATCTATTCATACAGTAAACAGTAATGCATTATTACACTGAAAAGAAATGTTTAAGAAATCTAAAGATTCTATTTCTTTTAATAAATTTTAAGCACTATTGAACATTGCAGAATTCTTAAATGTACATGCACTAGGTGCACATACTGCTGAAATGTTTGCAGTAGTTTGTTTCTGGTGAATAAACTGGAGATGTTGATGACAGACTAACATATAACAATGGACGGATTACATATTTTATACTGATCTCAATAACATAAATATATATTAACATTACCCAGGTGTTGTATTTAAAACTATTTTAGTCCTCTAAAATATTGTTCTCTTTGGCCAAGAAATATTGATTGAGTGTATGATTGTTGTTTGTTTAACGTCCATTGTCAAGCATTATTGAAAGTAATGACATGTTATATGGACAACCTATATACTGATGAATCAGATTCCTTTAAAAAATAAAAAAGGTAGACACAAGATTGAAGCACTACATGATGTGATTCTGATGGCAGGATAAACTATTCATACATACACAAATGATCCATTCAGCTGAATATTTTCTTCCCATCTGTTAATTACCCACAGGATTGTGTCAACAAACTTTTGTTGAAGCTGCAAAATAAAAATATTACTTAAGGATGTTCGCTTGTCATGTTTTGGATTTTTTGTCAGATTTTCGGAATACTCTGGTTTTATCCATTTGAATGCCTTAACAAATTTTGCCCACTTACCCCATTTTTCTTTTTATAAATCTTTTACATGTATAAATATAAGGCATCTGTAAAAGTCTTATAAAATCTTTGTTATTTTTTAATAGTTTTTGAGAACTTAAACTTGTCAATGTTAAAGCTATGAAAAATCAAAAGAGAACATTTTCCCGCCAAAATTTCAATGGCTAATATCTCAAAAACAAGCACATGGACCTATATTTTTTGTTCGCTCTTTTGGTTCCTTTATTAGACCCCTATCAATATATTCTAGTGATATGAAAAGCTTGTTATTTTGAAACTGAGTAGCGAACTTCCTTAAATGATGTTTAACTCTTACTTGTTTACCTCTGAAAGTGAAAATGTGCTGAGTAAAAAATTATATGATCATAATGCTTATTCAATTAACCAGAGGACACATCATTGAAATTATTTTTTAAAATACTTAAATTTGTGTAGAATTTCTTTTATCTAAAATATGTTCTAATCATTGATTATTTGCAGAATATTCGTAAAACAATGCATAATTGTCTGTACCCATAGCTGTTAGATATTAAAGTTCTAGCAGATCACCATCTAACATGTTGATTTGATATAGTTAACAGTATTTTCATTTTAAAAGTCTGGTTAGTTATAGTAAGTTGTCTCCCATAATATTACAATTAGAGTTATCTCCCATACTATTAAAATTAGAATTGTTTCCAATACTATAAAAATTAGAGTTGTCTCCCGTACTTATGTTGTATATCTATTGACTTCGCATGTGATTTTGGACCAGTAAATGTTAAAATATATGCTATTCACAGCTATACCATAGAAAAAAAAAATTAAAACTTGCCTCTTCTGGGTGCTTCTTCTTAGATACTAACTGGAAAAATGGAATCATAAGTTGTGCATGTTTAGGCCCTGTTATTATCCTGAATACTATAAAATCTGTAATAAAAAAGAAGATTGCTAATGTTTACAGTACTATATCTATGTAAACAATATTGTAATTAATTAAATATTAATTTCATTAATAGATTTAAACATTTTCTTTGGAAGATTTGATATCCAAACCAGATATTTTTGTTTGCCAATCTGTTGATAATAAAAATAAGAGTTTGCTCTGGTAATATTTTTGTTCCCAAAGTTCATTTCTCACTCTCTCAGTGAAAAAAAATATAAACTAGTCCAAGTTGAGATACAGTGTAACTAACATAGACTGTAAAATTTAAACTTAGTAAACATCTAGGAAGACAAATAAAGATCACTTCCTTGCAAGCTTTCCTCTTGTACAACTCTAGAAATGCACATCAAAATCTATTCCATGTAAACCTGTCTTTTAATTTAATCTCAAAACAGCTTGTCATTAGAAATAAATATAAATTTACCTGACCAAAGAGCTGGTAAATAATGATAGGCATATTTACCTGACCAAAGAGCTGGTAAATAATGATAGGCATATTTACCTGACCAAAGAGCTGGTAAATAATGATAGGCATCGTATAGATCAATGGCTCCTAGTATATCATAATACACAGAGAAAGTCGGTGACCATACCTGAAACAGACAAACAAGAATGTGTCCATAGTACACGGATGCCCCACTCGCACTATCATTTTCTATGTTCAGTGGACCCTGGAATTGGGGTCAAAACTCTAATTTGGCATTAAAATTAGAAAGATCATATCATAGGGAACATGTGTACCAAGTTTCAAGTTGATTGGACTTCAACTTCATCAAAAACTACCTTGACCAAAAACTTTAACCTGAAGCTGGACAGACGAACGAAGGACGAACAAACACACAGACCGATAAACATAATGCCCCTAGGTGGGGCATAAAAAATTCAGAATATCTAAGCATTTATTTAAGTATCCTATAGAAAATGATAATTAAAATGTACCATGGTAACCTTGAGGTTATAAATACTGCTGTGATCACTTTGAGTTACCGTGTGCCTCCTTATTGACCCTAACAGAAATTGACTTCCGTAAATTAAGAAATTATTACAATGTTTTCATTACAACAAAAATTGTAAGAGTATCAGGTTTGCAATAATAACAACTCGCTTTCATAATTTTAGTAGTGATTTTCATTCATAAAATTTTTGCAATCACATTAAATAGATTTTGCATGTTTTCCAGCAGTCAAATTCGCAATAATAAATGCATGCATTAATTTCTGATTTTACAGTTTGTCCTGTTGTATTTGGATTGTCTATATTGATCAATAATTGTATTTTTTATCAAATTTGTGTATATGTTTCGTGCAAATGATTACAAAAAAACACAAAATTGGATAAAATCATTCTGCAAAAAAATATTTTCATTTCCTGTTCCAGCCTGAATATTTTCCCTTAAGACCATTTACTTAAACACAAAATATCAGATATTTTCATCATATCTCTGAACATTTTTACTTACATTTGGTGTCAATCTGTGATACACTTCCATTACCTTATCAATATGTTCAAACTGGCAAATTAACGTTAAAAATATGTTACTGAAAATATACAAAACACCTGTTTTATTAAAAAGACATCAGAAAGCAATCAAGGAGAAATTCAGTGGCAAAATGGTACTGGTATATAATAAAAATTTCATGAATCTATACCTTAATCTGATATCTAAGAAAATTTAAACAAGCATGAATGTAGTTAGCAGAGAAACTGTGAAGTACTATCATGGTGAACAATGGCTGATATATCACAATAATATTCTAACAAATGAAATGTACATTCATTGAAATAATGGAAATCATGGCAACAATTTTTTCCGGAACTGCCTTAGAAATTGCACAATTGGTTAAAACAAGACATTTAAAAGCAGAAAACAGACACATACAATACCTATAGATAGTTTTTGATATAAATAATTTGAGTTACTTCCCTTGGTCATTGTGATGGGGAGCAAACTGGTTGATTTTCTCTATTTCACTAACCAAATTAAAACATATGGCTCAGGCAAGTCTGATAAAAGATCCTTATAAGATCGTTGTAATGAATTATACAAGACTTTAATTAAACAAAATAAAACAGTTCAAAGAGCAACTGAAAGTCTTGCGGTCAGTACAATATATAACAAGTTGAATTTTGTTGATTTATGAATGTGGCACAAAGGGAAATAGCTCTAAATCTCACGCCACTTTCAGCACTATTGGCATTACATAGCGGTCAGTTTTTATTGGTGGACAAAGCAGGAGTGCCTGGAGAGAACCACCTTTGGTAGGAACAATGACAATCTTGGTCAATTAACATTGGAGTTGAATGCACCATCTCTTAATCAAAATAAGTCTAACGATAGCTATCTATTTAAGTATGTAAAATGAAACCTGGTTGTTGTCTGGAAATGTGTCAACATTTATCATTGTATACAGATTTACAGTAAATATTCTGTAATAACATAAATTGTGTGAACCAAACACCAACTATTTTTAATAGGGCTAAGTTAGAACTTTTGATTTCACTAATCCTTTTATTATCTGTTTAAATCTTATGTCTTAAACATATAACAGTTTATCAAAACCTTACCAGTATGTAGATTCAGCAAAAAAATCTATCATGAACTTATAGTTATCTTTGCTATGTAGTAATGCATCAACCTTGAAAGCCAGGTCTTTATCATGAAGGTAAATATCACACTGAAATTAGAACAATTGGAATCTTCATTATTTCTATTGCAACAAAAGATCTCATAAATAAACCAAATGTTTTAAAGTTTATCCAGGTTCGCATGTTTTTCACATGCTGTCTGTACGAGATGAATCTCTATCAGAAATAAAGAAATGAGATGAAGCAGTATTGCTTATGTTTTCAATCTGCCATATTGAAAATGGCAGAACTTTTCAAAACATATTATAAAAGACCACTTAAAAGGGCCCTACATATTCAAAGAAAACAATTGTCAAACTTTATTGTTGAGATTGTATATATTCAACTACACAAAATGACAAACTAACAAAAAAATGCCTAACAATGTATAAGATACATCATACAATTATCTATGAAAAGTTTCACTCACAGAATATTGTTATTACTTATACAGGCATATTCAAGTGATTCAGCACTATAAATCCAGCAATAATGGTAAATAAAAAAGACTTTTCTTGGACATTTACTGTAGTTCGTTTATGATTGTTATGACAATCCATTTGTTTGTGAAATAACTGTCTGTCTGTATGGGAATATAGGGGGATGCTTTAAAAATATATAAAAACACTCCTTAACCTTATACATTCATTTTATTTGAATAGTCCTAACTCTATACTGGTATGGTATGATTTTATATTGACTCCACATCGGATACTTACAACTTTCATTGCAGCAACAAAAAAGTGTACTGAAATGGAAATTTATAAAAATTAAGATCTGCAAACCACATGCAAAGTAAAAGGACAATTGCAAAAAACTTTAAAACAGAACTTAATAAAATTTTTCTTAGGTTCAATATTATACCAATATACAGGATCAGGAAGAAAGACAAATAAGTGAGTATGATGTTGACAACTCATGCTTGAAATGACAAATAAGTGAGTATGATGTTGACAACTCATGCTTGAAATGAAGACTGAGCTACTGACAATAAGACACACCTGTCACACTTTATCTTACTTTTAAAAATACTCATGAACAAATATATTATTTTCTGATATACAAGGGTGTAAAGGTCCATAAATTTTGTCTGAAATTTGACACTTATGGAACCATCAAATAGTTGGCAGTGTTCTATTTCCTGAAAATACATGTACATGTATTTTCCTTACATGGGTTTTTTATCAGATCAATAAGATTCGATGACCATAAACATGTACTTACAAATCAAGCATTACTGTGGAATAAAAGTTCCCTTCCTACTGTTGGATGGATGAAACCAGACAGTCTAATTTCTTTATCCTCCCTTACCTTGGGGTATAATAGGATATGTTGGTTATAAAAAAATAAAATGTAACAAGCTGCCTAAAAGGGAAGTATGTATACTGTGTATTTACTTACTGTCATCTTTTGATGTTAAATCAAAGTCCTTGCCCTGGATGTAATCCATTAACTGTGGTAAAAATGGGTGTTCTGGGTCTGAAAATATTAGACATTGGAAATAACAAGAGTGCACACGCTGAAATGTCTCGCCTTCTTTACTAATCATTGATATTATGTTGATAGTCCTAAATATAAAGCTTTATTACAACTGTCACATAAACTTAACATTAACCAAGTAAACTAAACATTGACCAATGAACCATGAAAATGAGGTCAAGGTCAGATGAACCATGCTAGGCAGGCATGTACAGCTAACAATTCTTCCATACAACAAATATAGTTGACCTATTGCTTATAGTTTAAGAAAAACAGACGAAAACACAAAAACTTAACACTGAGCAATGAACCTTGAAAATGAGGTCAAGGTCAAATAAAACCTGCGTGACTGACATATAGATCATAAAATATTTCCATACACCAAATATAGTTGAACTATTGCATATAGTATTAGAAAAAAAGACCAAAACTCAAAAACATAACTTTGACCACTGAACCATGAAAATGAGGTCAAGGTAAGATGACACCTGCCAGCTAGACATGTTCACCTTACAATCATTCCATACACCAAATATAGCTGACCTATTGCATGCAGTATTAGAAAGAAAGACCAAAACTCAAAAACTTAACTTTGACCACTGAACCATGAAAATGAGGTCAAGGTCAGATGACACCTGCCAGCTAGACATGTACACCTTACAATCATTCCATACACCAAATATAGTAGACCTATTGCATAGAGTATAAGAAAAACAGACCAAAACACAAAAACTTAACTATAACCACTGAACCATGAAAATGAGGTCAAGGTCAGATGACACCTGCCAGTTGGACATGTACACCTTACAGTCCTTCCATACACCGAATATACTAGACCTATTGCTTATAGTATCTGAGATATGGACTTGACCACGAAAACTTAACCTTGTTCACTGATCCATGAAATGAGGTCGAGGTCAAGTGAAAACTGTCTGACGGGCATGAGGACCTTGCAAGGTACGCACATACCAAATATAGTTATCCTATTACTTATAATAAGAGAGAATTTAACATTACAAAAAATCTGAACTTTTTTTTCAAGTAGTCACTGAACCATGAAAATGAGGTCAAGGACATTGGACATGTGACTGACGGAAACTTCGTAACATGAGGCATCCATATACAAAGTATGAAGCATCCAGGTCTTCCATCTTCTAAAATATAAAGCTTTTAAGAAGTTAGCTAACGCCGCCGCCGCCGCCGCCGCCGCCGCCGCCGGATCGCTATCCCTATGTCGAGCTTTCTGCGACAAAAGTCGCAGGCTCGACAAAAACCATTAACAAGAATGCATGTTTTGCTTTGTTATGCTTAGCTTACATTTAAAATATGAAAAGTGTGTCGAAAAATTTTATGTTCATTAATGATATTGAAAAATTCAAAGAATCTACAAACAGGAAGTACATGTTTTCAACAGAATAACTACATATTTGTTCAGCAGCTTGACAGAGGTAAGTTGTACTGTATCAGCATTTTTTGGAACTAGAAGACATGTATTTCCTGTTTGTCCATTCTTTGAATTTTTCAATATCTTTAATGAACTTAAACATTTTTTACACACTTTTCATATCAGGATTGGCAAATTTCAAATTATAATTTGAAAGTTTTATTTCATTTCTTATTTCCAATCACAAAAGATATAAGATAAGGTTTATGCATCATTGAGAAAGTTACTAATGCACATTTATTCTATATTCTACAATATTTACTTCAAGTACTTACTCCTAGAATGGTCATTATATATCAGCTGAAGGAGATTGGCATAAATTCCTAATGTAGGTTCTGAAAAAAGTAACAATATGAAAATCATTTCACATCAAACAAAAGCTTAGCTTTGGTTTTTCATAGAAAACCCTTTCTCTCAACAACCCAACTGACAAGACCTTGAATTTTCTGTTAACTGCATTGTAGTCAAATGTCCTCAAAAGTCCATATTTGAAACTTTGAAATTTAAATTCATATTGTAAATATTAACATCAATGAATGCATTTATTATGGTCAATCATCAAAAATACAATGTTCTTTAGAAGAATATAGTATTAATATTTAATTCTGATTTTAGGGATTATTTGGCCCAAAATCATACCTTCTATATATGTATATAAGAATGGAAGTGATAACAGGATTCTAACCATGTCTTGAAATTATGATCATATTGCATTTTTTTATACTTACCTATATTTATAGCTTTCATTTCATTGAGTACAAAATACACCTTCTGTTCTCTAAATCTCGTCATCACTCCTTTCAAGAAATGGAGAACTGACATAAAGGTTTGGACATTTGGCTGAACACCACTCTCCTTCATACTTTGCAGAAGACCCTGAAAAACACCATTTGAATAGTTTATTATTTATATGTTAAAGGAATCCTATGATCAATAATGGTATATAGATTAATTGATTGATTGGTGTTTAACGCACTATTGAGCTATTTCGTTGCAGTCAGTTTTTATTGGTGGAGGAAGCTGGTGTGCTCTAAGAGAACCATGGACTAGGTAAGAAAAATGACAATCTTAGACAATTACTTTAAGATTAGAGTAGAGCGCACAGTAAAAACAGTGACCAATATTTTGTGTGCAAATTGTTAGAGTCCATAAGATGTGAAAAAAACGTCTTGACACTCAATTACATAAATACTTTTGAGAGGGATGCCATATACATGAAATTCCAACTTGAATTTTATGAATGAACTGCACCTGTTGACCTGGGGATATTTGGGGGAAAACACACCATAGGAAATTGTTTGGTCAAAATATTTGCTTTATGACATCAAATTTTTCTGGGAAAAAGCATCAATTGGAGGATCATGTATTAAAACTTAGAATAATTGTAATATATATTTACAAGCCCCTTCCCAAAAAATTATCCCCAATTTTGGATTTTTCAGATCAGTATACTCATCTATGGTTTTGATGTTTAGGACCCTTCAAATTTGAAGAGAATACACCAAAAAAGAAGGCATTTGTGATGCGACAACAAAGATATAAAGGATGGATGGAAATATTAATTATTTAAGACTGTGTTTTTACAACAATGCTAGAAACAAAAGAACAAGTAATTATCATTTAATTAATATAATCACCATAATAATTGTCCATTGTTCTTCTTGATCTGCAGGATACTGTCTCATAACATCTATCAGGCCATTGTATGTTCTGACATCAACTACAAAACAAAACTAATAAATGTTTATGATGTTGCTGTATGCTATCTACTCTGAAGTACAGTCTAAGAGTGTAGGATGGTCTGGTTTCACATTGGTAGATTAAGTACACCTAACTAGCCATTTTTGAAAACCTTCTAAACTCCTTGTTATTTTTTTCATAGTTTTTGAAAGAAAAAAAGTTTCAATGTTCAATGTATGAAAAATTTAAAAATCTATAAAGAATCATTTCCCCCAAAATTTTCAATTGCTTATATCTCAAAAACAAGAACATGGACGTTTACTTTTTTTCTGCTTTTCAAGTTCCATTATTCATTTACTATCAATTTATAACAGCATCTTAAAAAGCTTGTTATTTTGAAATAGGTGAATGGACATCCTTAAGCAAATGCAAGCATTTTTTATGGTAATATTGAATTATTATTTTTGAATGTTTTTGTGTATTTGTTATCTGTTGTATTGTTTTAATCCAGTTGATTATTTTTCTTGTAATGAATGATTTATTTCTATTGTATATTCTTTTATGTACATTTTGTATATCATAAGGTCAAAATTAAAAGGGGGGATGGTTAAAATCTAAAAACCCAGCCACATGATCATGTGTTTGTCCAAAGTCAGCATTTCTGCTGTGGTTGTCTTCAGTCATTTATAAATGTTTCTGTCATTTGGAGAAATCTGTGTCGTTCAATGTACTTCTTGAGAAATATAGAGCTATACTGCAAATAACAGTGTTAATTCTTTAGTAACTTAAAATTTGGTAAAACAAAGATCTGTCTTATCTGAAAAAATAATTTCCTTTCAAAAGGAATTTGGTTGAGACATGTTACATTTACTGCTCAACTAAGCAACTTAAACAGAATGCATATCTTTATGTCTTTGCAAAACATAATTTTTACAAAGAAAAATCCACATAATTAGCTTATGTTCTTAAAGTCCATAATACTGAAAGTCACTAAAATTACCTAATTCTACAAATAGTTAGAAGATTCAAGAAGCAGCAAAATGTTTTCAAAATATTTATATTCATTACATATGGTGTAGCATTCTTCTTTTTTCATTGGTTATTACAATCACATGATTTAAAGGGTATTCAATGTACCTGAAGCCTTGTTTCTAATTTCAAGTATATGGAGGCTTTGTTTGTATTTATATACATGTATATATTGAAGGTCAATGTTAAAAATCTTGCAAAATACAATGTAAAATACACAGACAGAACATTGGGGCTATTTCCACAATACACTTTTTACATATGTAATATATAAGTTACGGACTTTCACTCAGTCAATATGTTATATATCAGACTTCATCCTTGGTAAATATAATCTGAACAGGTCCATATATAAGATATTGGCCTCATCAAAAGTCCATAATTAATGAATATAACTAGAAATAGTTTACCCTCAGCTTGTAATCCTTTACCCTTCATTTCTTCATAAAGTTCAAATGCCTTCTCCACTTCCAAATACTGTAAAATATAACATATATTATATTGGAAGAGACAAGTAGACTGGAAAAATGAGGGGGGGATGTAAATCAGAAACACAAACAATATAAATAAAAAAGACTCTTAAAATTCCAAGACTAAATTGTGCTCTTCTGTTATAAAATCAAAGCAAATATGCTGAGTAAAATTTTAAAAGTGCCTTTTTAATAAATTAAAAAAAGAAAGTTAACCCTACTTGATTGACTTACAAGTTAACAAGTTCAATGCTGTCCTTAACTTTCTTTGAATTAAATAATGATCTCAAGGTTAATAAAAACATAGAATTTGCTTTAACTACATGGATGCATTCATTTTTGTGGGTACCATTTTTTTGGTTTGAGGAAAACTTTTTCATCGATATTTGATTTGTGGTTTTAACATTGTCGACATACATTTCTATAGAAAATTTGTAATTCTTTGAACACTTAAATTCCTGGTTACCCTGTACCTACCAAATCAACGAAATATTTGGCATTTTATTATACATAAAAGTGTAAAAATACCTTAGTCATGCCTCTGATCATTGCACAGTAAGCTTCAGAAGTCTTCTCATTTAGATCATTAAAAACTTTAACTGCAGGTCCATTATCTCTGAAAAAGTTTTTAGTTGTAATAAAGTAATGCATAAATTAAATATGTTGGAAAATCAAAATTTAAATTTTGAGCTGCTTGATGCATTAAACACTAGTTAACACCCATTCCAACATACCGTTCAACCTGATATAACAGAAATAGTTTGTTTCATCACCAACATTACACTGTTATTAGTTTCACAGAGTTCAATAACTGAAGAATAGAAGAACGATTTACACTTCACAATTTACCATTAAACAGAATATAGAACATATAAGATAAATCATTTCAAGCTAGATTTACCATTTTTGAAATGGACTGATCTGTCAGTGTAAATAATTCCCAACAATATTTCCCATTTTACATATATAAACCAAACTTGATCAAATATAATTATTAAAGAATTGCATTTTCCATGAAATTCAAGGTTTCTGTGGAGGATTTAAACAAGCTTTTACAACTGTTGCTATTCAGGTAATTACATTTGTCCAAAACAAAGTTTATAATCTTAAAATAACTTTGGTTTGATTTATTTCTTCAATAAATTGTTGACACAGAGATGTGTATCGTCTTTTTTGTAATTTTGATAATATAATGCAAATGTTGAAATTAAAATGGCAATACTTAAACATGCAAACTATGCAAAGCATTCAAAGTCAATGAACCATGACTGAAAGCACAGGGTCAAATAACTTCCATGGAAATGGGAAATGCCAACGCTTATAAAACTGCACACCACTATCAGTTCACCATAAACTGACCTAATCACAAACTAAAACATGTAAACTAAGCAAAAGTTTCAAAGCCAACAGACCATGACTGAGGGGGTGGGGCCAAATAATCTCCATGGAAATTAGATATGCCAATGCTAATACAGCTGCTTACCAAATATCAATGACAAGGTGAGACAAAAATTATAAATATTTTACTACTATTTTGATTATGCTCTGCATATTGGATACCATAATACGGATGAATTTAATTAAAAGTAATTTTATCATTTTTAAAACCTTTCTTTTACCATGAAACATCTTACTCATATAAAAATATTAAGAAAAAGTATACCTTTGTAGACTTTTGTACATATTAATATTTTTTAATTTTATATTTCTATGCCAACCATCACAAACATACGACATGCTTTCATATTTTTTTAAAATAATCTTAACTTAATCTTACTTCCAAGTTTTATTGAATGATCTTTTTTCAAATAAATATCTCATATCTTCTGGTGTCTTTTCTTCAGGAGGGTCAATTGAGTTGTAATATGCCAGAAGATTAAGCAAGGAGATCTTTGTTTCTTGAGAAAGCTCCAATTCTGGAAAAAAAGTTAATTATCAGTCATTTATAAAATCATAACAAAAATATATGTTTGAATACCAACCATCAACAAAGGTATAAGAAAAGATATACTTATTACTATAATTGTTTATGAACTCAAAAAAGGAGTTATCCCTATCCTGCAAATTAGATTATCTCCCTTAATGCATGTTGGACCACAATTTAAATCCTTAATGCATGTCATCAGGTAGTGTTCTACAACTGTTAAGTTTCATTTATATCTGTCCAGTTGTTTAGGTGGAGTAGCACTCAAAAGAGACTATTTCCACATATTATAATATTTAGGTAAGCATGTTGGATTATCTCACCTTCGACATGAAGGACTGGGATTATATTACTAAATGCACATCCTTGGGTGGTGTTTTACAACTGTGTCAAGTTTCTTCAATGTCATTAGACAATGACTGGTTGACAAAGTGTCACCATAAACTACTTTAATATTTTTTTTTAATTTTAACACCACCATTGCCACAGCCAGCAAATTATTATTGAAAAATTCAGATACTTGTTATTTTTATTTTTGTGAATATTGCAACAGGATAAATTTAACAAAAATAAAACGTTGGATTTTTAATTTTAATTGTATTATCTGTATGAAGCATGTCCTGAAATTGCAAAAACAAATCTTGCTTTTTTGTCTATTATTCAACAATTGATATAATAAATGGCCACAAACATTTCTGAATTTACCTGACTTTTGTCAATAGCTATTTTTGAGAAGGAAATGTAAATGTCAATATTTTAAATGTTTACTAGTTTTTTCAAATATTTTTTTTTGTTACAAGTTAGCAAACTCATCAGTTGTTATCTTTAGATGAAAGTTAGTACTTTTTTTATCATTTAGGGAATGTTATGTCTGTGGCATACATTTGATTGTAACTGTTATTCTTTTTTACAACCTTCCTAGCTTGGTCAATTCTAAGAAGGCTATACCTTGATCTTGAATCTCATTATACATATCTATAGCATCCCTGACATTAACTATACCTTGATCTTGAATCTCATTACACATATATATAGAATCCCTGACATTAACTATACCTTGATCTTGAATCTCATTATACAGATCTATAGCATCCCTGACATTAACTATACCTTGATCTTGAATCTCATTATACATATCTATAGCATCCCTGACATTAACTATACCTTGATCTTGAATCTAATTATACATATCTATAGCATCCCTGACATTAACTATACCTTGATCTTGAATCTCATTATACATATCTATAGCATCCCTGACATTAACTATACCTTGATCTTGAATCTCATTATACATATCTATAGCATCCCTGACATTAACTATACCTTGATCTTGAATCTCATTATACAGATCTATAGCATCCCTGGCATTAACTATACCTTGATCTTGAATCTCATTATACATATCTATAGCATCCCTGACATTTCTCATGTCTATCCTCTCAATCAAAGCTGTTTCACTGGGGTCAAAATGTTCATATTTTATCTTCTTTGGCATCAGTTCCTTAAACAAAATAAAAATGTTTAATTCAAGTTTATAGAATTGGAACAGTGACCAAATGTGAGCCAAGTCACGTCAACTTAATTACATATAAAACTGTGAGCAAAATATAATGATTGATTTTCCTTGCATTATCTGCATGTATAAGGACACAGACACCTCTTAAACTGCATCATGTTGTTCAACCCACTTTGTAAAGCATACTAATTTGATATATTGTTTACAGACTTAACTTAAACTTCATCATCTTGTTCAACCCAACATGAATAACCTACTTATAATATGATATAGTATTCAACTTGTTCTTGTCCTGAACATCCATGAATAATATTCCACCAGACATTCAGAATCAATCTATCGATAAAATTCAATGCAGTATGAATAATATTCCACCAGACATTCAGAATCAATCTATCAATCAAATTCAGTGCAGTATGAATAATATTCCACCAGACATTCAGAATCAATCTATCGATAAAATTCAGTGCAGTATGAATAATATTCCACCAGACATTCAGAATCAATCTATCAATCAAATTCAGTGCAGTATGAATAATATTCCACCAGACATTCAGAATCAATCTATCGATAAAATTCAGTGCAGTATGAATAATATTCCACCAGACATTCAGAATCAATCTATCGATAAAATTCAGTGCAGTATGAATAATATTCCACCAGACATTCAGAATCAATCTATCGATAAAATTCAGTGCAGTATGAATAAGGAGTCAAGGCTTACTTACAACCTCTTTGGAATAGCCTGATGATAATGCAATAAATTCATCATATCAAATGTTCATCATATATCCTCCATTTCCAAGGGCAGTCCAAAACTACCCATAATTTGCAGTACCTAACTATAGGATTTATTGATCTCTTAACTTCCTCAATGTGCATGAAATTATTGTCACTGACATTTAGTCAAACATAAATAAATCAACCAATCAATCAATTTGAGCTGAAAGTTTTAAAATTGATCTATTTTCTTTACAAAATGATGATCATCTAAAATTATATAATTATATAATTTAAATCTTTCTAGCTGTAGCATGTTAATCTGACTGTTACATACAACTAAATGCAGTTGATGCTTTAATTCATCTTATTTTTAAGTTGGAATTAAAGATCTGGTTTCTATGTTGGATTATTTGTTAATTTTTTTATAAACATTTAATTGTGGACAAAAGTGATGATGTTTATGTTTGTTTATTTAACATACAGGAATGCCTGGAACTGATGCTTCTTCTTTGAACATATTAGTAGAAAATATGCCTGGTAATCTATCAACAAAGTATCTGGCTGCTTTCCTCCCGCTACTTTTTGCCAAAGTGTATATTTTCTGGAATAAAGTATAACAAATAATTTAAAGATAGAAACCTGTATATAAGTATGAGCTACTTCAATATACTTTCTTCTTCAAATAAATGAGCTGAAACTTAAATAATTTAAACCAATGTCATTGCATAAGGCAATGTAATTAAAAACTATTTTTCTCTTTTCCAGGCAATACCTACTATGTTTAAATGTGTCTCAACAGACATTACTTGGTAGTTTTGAGGCGTTTTTTTTATATTTTGCCTTTACAAATTTTTAAAATGACCTTTGAGTAAGGTGAACTAAACCTGTTCATTTTCATAAAATCAAAATTGCCTGGTGGATTAAATGTGGTATTATCAAAAATTTGTGAGGGTTTCCATGGAACCCTGTGTCTCGCCTGCTACGGCTGCTGTCAGTGTAAAAGTGTAATTTGACCTAAAAAGGGAGTGCATTTATCAGTAAAATACAGAATTGAAAGAAAAAAATCACACTTTTTTTAGATGCTATTTCTTGGACTTGAAGATTAGCGTCTGATCAATTTCATAATAATCCATGAAGGTTAACAAATTTATCATGTCAAAACAATTCAATCACAGACTGTCTGTAAATGTAAATGTTAACTGTAAAAATCTAAGTCCATCTACCAGAAAAACACTGAAAATGAAAAAAATATATTTCAAAATTTTGCTTCAGACATTATTTCTTAATCGTAAAAAAGCTTCTGCCAAAGTTTCATAAATCTGTCTAAAGGTTTGACAAAGTAATTGAACCCCAGACTGTATCTACTTTTTAACTGTAAAAAACTAAGTCCATTCATCAGTAAAATACGGCAAAAATTAAATAAATATACTGTCATTTGGTCATAAAAAAGCTTCTGTCCAAATTTCATAAAACTCCACGAAGGTTTGACAAAGTAATTGATTTCTAAAAAAACTTTTACCACAGACTAAACCTAAATGTTGACACCGCTGACAGAATCTAGGATCACTATGTTTGCTTTTGCAATATAAATTTTACAGATTTGACAAACAAGAGTGCACACGCTGAAATGTTTCACCTTCTTTACTAAACATTGATTTTATGTTGACAGTCCTAAATATAAAGCTTTACTACAACTATCACATAAACTTAACATGATCCAAGAAAATGAGGTCAAGGTCAGATAAATCAAACTGGATATACATGTACACCGTACAATCATTCCATACACCAAATATGCTTTAAATATAGTTGACCTATTGCACATAGAAACAAACTTAACCAGGAAAACTTAACATTGATCAATGAACCATGAAAATGAGGTCATGGTCAGATGATAATTTCCAGACAGACATATACAACTTACAATCATTACATGCTTTAAATATAGTTGACCTATTGCATATAGTATCTATGAAACAAACTTAACCAGGAAAACTTAAGATTGACCAATGAACCATGAAAATTAGGTCATGGTCAGATGATAATTTCCAGACAGACATATTCACCTTACAATCATTCCATACACCAAATACAGTTGACCTATTGCTTATAGTATTAGAAAAACAGACCAAAAAACAAAAACTTGACATTGAGCAATGAACCTCAAAAATGAGGTCAAGGTCAAATAAAACATGCCAGACTGACATGTACATCGTTAAATTTTTCATACACCAAATATAGTTGACCTATTGCATACAGTATTAGAAAAACAGACCAAAACACAAAAACTTAACTTTAACCACTGAACCATGAAAATGAGGTCAAGGTCAGATGACACCAGCCAGTTGGACATGTACACCTTACAATCATTCCATACACCAAATATAGTAGACTTATTGCTTAAAGTATCTGAGATATGGACTTGACCACGAAAACTTAACCTTGTTCACTGATCCATGAAATGACTTTGAGGTCAAGTGAAAACTGTCTGACGGGCACGAGGACCTTGCAAGGTACGCACATACAAAATATAGTTATCCTATTACTCATAATAAGAGAGAAATTAAGAATACTAAAAATCTTAAACTTTTTTTTTCAAGTAGTCACTGAACCATGAAAATGAGGTCAAGGACAATGGACATATGACAGATGGAAACTTCATAACATAAGGCATATATATACAAAGTATGAAGGATCCAGGTCTTCTACCTTCTGAAATATTAAGATTTAAGAAGTTTGTTACTATTTCTATGTCGAGATTTCTGAGACAGAAGTCGCAGGCTCGACAAAAAGTACTGGTAATTAACACACACAATTCTCTTATTATGTTTAAACCAAGACGAAAGTATTTCTGGTTTTGTTTAACTTACTTTTTCGTTAGCTATTACAGGGTAAAGATGAGGATCATCTATAAACATATAGTCTGGAGCTGTAGAATCCTGAAATATATGAAATAAATTCTGTTATGAAATTTTTTAAGATGATTTTTCATTCAAATCAATTAATCATTTCTGGGATCTGAAACTATTTCAAACTTAATACTTTTTTCAATTTGAAGCTTAATATCAAGAATCACTATTTTTATTTGCAGACAAAAATGCAATGAAATGTGGTAATGTGCATCAGTATCACATCATGAAGAACACACATAAAATTGGCAAACAGAAAGTAGATAAATAAAGAATCTGACAATGAGTCAAATGATATAATTTACCAATATAAAGCTTGGTACCAAATATTAGTTTGTACTTGGTGCTTTAGCACTCTTATCAATCCTTACATTATGTATGTGAACATTTTATTAGATTTGGTCATATTAAATTTTCTTGACAAAAAAGAAATAGTTTAAAATTGATAAGAATCTTACTGATACCAATTGAAGCATTCAAATTAAAAAAAAATGAATGGCTATTCTACAGAACTTTGAAAAAGAAGGTTCTGTAAATCTAGAATTACAGATGTGAAAAATGGTCAAATTTTAAACAGAACTTACTTTTGATCATGCAAAAAACTTAATGAGATTTAAGTCAAAGCTTAGTCAAATCATTTTATAATATATGAAAATAAAGACCATCAGATGACCTAACAATTGTATACCCCAATACTTCCTTTTTTATGTGCGTATTTAAATTATGATTGTAAATACTAATGTTTCTCACCCTCTGGACTGTTGCTGCTAAACATTTCAATACTGTTAATTCATCCCTGAAAAATAAGTTGCAATTTTTTTCAGTGAACATGCAGTTGATATTTGCTAAAAGTGAAAAGATGAACAATGATTTTAACAAGAAATTGGAAAAATCAGTATAAGGCCAAAATATATTTGTGGATTTATGGTTGCCCATCAGACCCTCTTTTCTTCTTCAATTTTTGAAAAATGAATTGAATAAGATATATGCCTTGGCAAGATATTCTGTAGGTAAACAATATGGCTATATTTTAAATCAAATGACTGCATGAAAAAGACAAAACACAATAGATTTTAAGTAAAGTGAACTGATTTAAAGTGACACAGTGTATAATAGTGAAGTCTGATGAAAAAAATTCTAGATTATCTTTTTCTCTTTAAATCTCAGTGAATGTTGCTAATTGTGATCATATGATGAATGTGTTCCCTGAACATAATAGCATCAACCAAAAAATTTATAATCCAACTCAATGATCCTATTTTTTCCATGAATGCAACCTTAAAAACACATATATTTTTTTGGCCTAAAATGATGCCTTATTTGCCTGTAGAGTGGGTGACGCCTATTCGCCGCAAAATTTGTTCATTTCCACCTACATCCGACCTACATTCGAATATTTGAAACTTTTTATGTAGGTTTCAGAAAGTTTACTATATGAAAAAAATGTCTGATAAAGGAATTCTCTTCAAAACATTGGTTAAATGTTTTAAAAATTAACGCAAACTCAAGAGGAAATCAAGTTGTTCTTGTACCATTGGGGACACATTTTCGCCACAATGTATGATATGATCATCCTCATTATCCTTGTATATTATAAAAACAATTGTTTGCAATTACATGAATTAGCTTGAGAGATCATTCCTATACGATTTTTCTAACAGATATTTACTTTATGACTGCGCATGCGTGCCATATAAATCTTACATAATTGCCAAAATCGTTCAAAAACTACTGCGTATTTCTTTATATGTGCGAATAACATTAGAAATGGGGTAAAGAGGAATATCAACAGTTCGAACATTACAAACAGCGTTTAGCATCTTTTTAGGCAAGTATTGGGTAAAGGCACACAAAATTTACAGAAAAAATAGCAAATACGGCGAAAATGTGTCCATGGCGAATATGCGCCACCCACTCTACTCAAAAGCTGACTTTCTAATCAGGAAATTTGTATAAAAAATCAACACATTAACTGTACCTTTAATGAAATATTTTATCAACTAAAATAATGAAACACATTACAGAAGCAATGGGATTTGCATTTTATTTTTGGTCTAATGTCTACGGTTTAAAAAAAAAAAATGTACCTTAAAGGATTTATTGAAGATAACATTCATTATGATTAACTTGTTGATCTCGTGTTGCTGATCATTTTTGCTATTTGAAGTTTTAGTCTATTATTTTTTTCAAAATGTAAAACACTAAAATTCATTTGAACTCATTATTTTAGGGCAAAAGAAAATCAGAATGAATCAAATCCCCAGATACAATTTTTAAACTAGATTACCAAGTAGAGTTGGCAAAAACCCGGGTTTTATGAGTATTGCCCAGCCTAGTGGGAAATACTGGCAAAAACAAGGGTTTTACTGGGTTTTACAGAGTAATACTGGCCTGAATTTTAAAGAGGATTCAGTGATAAATCACAAATGCAATACATTAAAGATATTTATAAAAACAAAACATAGTATTTTAATTTATAAGTTCACTTGTTTGAAACTTTTATTATAAAGTGTATAAATCTGAGAAATTGTTGTTCCAGCAACTCTAACACAAGAGTACATGAAGACACATTAGACAAATATGAAAAGCTTTTCTCAGTAATCCTCCTAAAAATCTATTAATTCGACATTCTGCCTAGATTGGTCGAACTTAACATAAAGCCAAAGAATTTAATTTGATTTTTTTTAAATATATATATAACTATTAAGAATTAATAATTATATATGTAAGGAAAATTACTTTTAAACAATTTTTGTTCATTGCTTAAAATGTTTACTAAGCAGTATATATATGTACATCACTAATTAATATGTAATTATTCAGATTATAAAAGATTTGTTTATATAACAATAATCAGCCTTTTCATTTCTATAAGTGTTCATGACATGTCCCCTTGCGGTTTTTATTTAGCAATACGATTGTATAACCATTAAAATTTACAATTCACTCAAACACTGCAATAAAATGCATTTTTTTAAAGTTTGGATAATTGAAACTAAGCTTGGAATTTAACAAGGTATTCAAAACCTGTATTCTGCCTACATAGAATTATTTGAGAAAAGAAAGAAAATGAATTTTCAATCCTCCTGAAATGTCTCTCTATGGTTATCTGTATAAAATGTATATATTTAGCTATAATACTATGAAACAAACAACAAGTCTTTACTCTTCTGTGTAAAAATAATCTTTTAAAATCATATTCCCCAGTATTACCCATTTCTGGGAGTATTGCCCAGCCCGGTAAAACCCAGGATTTCCCACCCTTGTAATACTTTGCATACCCTGTTACCAAGGGAACATTCAGAGAAATTTTGTAACATTTTTTCCAGTAGTTTCTGAGGTGAAGACTTTTTTTATAAAGTTTACAATGGACAATGATTGCTTTACACAAATCTTTGGTGTAAACTCTGAATATAGAGTTCCAGGGGTCACCACACCAGGCGAATTGAGCGACTACGTAGCCCTAGGATTCCCCACTTCCCTCTAGAGTAGCTCCAGGGAGAAGTTTATGTTGTCTTGGATTTTCAGTAAAATTCCCCAATGTCACCTCATGATTTTTGAAAAAATTCTCAATCCAAGTGCAAACGGTCCAATATTCGACGAAAAATAAAAAAACTTTTATCCCCAAATTCAAAATTGAATTTCATATCATAACCTCAACAAGATATTCCAGTGTTATCTCTTGCTGTGCACGCAGCCTGACTAGCCAATCCCTAAGATAATGCATGTTCCACGTGCATTTCCTCATTCTCTTACTGGCTAGCGTCGAGTGAAGAGCTCCAAGAAATTCCCTGCTAATTAACAAACTGTTTTTGTTGTTTTACTTTAGTGGATTTTGGGATTTATTTTATTTTTTCGCCGGGATTTTATATTGAAATGTCGTCATGAGTGATTTAAAAGATGACGAGGTTTCATTAGAAGACAATAGTGCTTCTGGTGAATTAGCTGACGAACTCCATGTTGACCACACGGCGGACATTGAAGAAGCATGTGTTTCGCAGTCATATGTCCAAAGTGACAATAGTTTGACTGAAAGACACAAGAAGAAATGGAAATGGCCAAAGTATGCCAAGCGTGATTTTCCTTCTGATTCTTCGGAGTCGGAGAGCGATGATTATTCCTACAGAAGGAAAAAATCTAAAGCCACAAAGTATGGCAGAAAAAGCAAAAAATCCTCAAAGAAGGATGACTTTTCTTCCGATTCTGAGTCGGACAAAGAAGTAAGGTCCGTTATAAGTGAAACTGTATCTAATTTAACATACAGTGAAAAGAACGGCAACAAAAGTTATCATTGTTTTAATGCTCACAAGAAAGAAAAAACAGGACTCCAGTTTTCCAAAGATATGGAATTATTTCTTGATGACAATTTCAATAGATTTATTCCTTCACATAAAGTTCAGGAATTAATTTTGAACATGATGCCCGTCCCATCATACGAGGGCTTTACTATCAGATCTATTGATCCATTGATTTTCTCTATTATGGAAGAACAAAGTCGTAGTACAAATACGCAGTTGGATAAAGCTTTCGTCAGTATTCAGACAAAGCTTATAGACACCATGGGGCCTCTTGGTAACTTATGGATGTTATTTGAAGATATTCGATCAAAAATCGATAATGGGTGTGACGATACTAGTGCTCAGGCGCATGTTGACAATGTTGACTTCCGTCATATTCTTGATCTGTTAGAGAAAACAATTTGTTTGGTAGGACAATCTAATGTTGCAATAAATTATCAGCGACGTTTGTCAATCCTTCAAAGAATAAACAATCAAGATTCAAAGAAGGCAAGATCACTTCTTAGCGACAAACAGGAATGTTTAGCGAAAAACGACAAGCATCTGTTTGGAAGTGAATTCAAGGAAGAGCTGAAGGAATGGAGCAAAACAAAGAAAGAAGCTTCCGAAATGGCATTAGCTCTCGGAGGAAAGAAAAAGAGTCACAAGAAGAAGGTTATCAACTATGACACACCTCGTCAGGTGCAACAAAGTCAACGATGGGAACAAAAGGAATCTCATCAAGACAAACCGCCCTTTCAGTCAAGGCCTCCGAGTCATTCACAGGGAGCAAGAAACTCAGGAGGCAGAGGCAACTCCCGTGGAAATGGTTTTCACAGAGGAAATAAAAGAGGTGGAATTGGAAAAAATCAAGCTTAAATCCAACTCAAAAGATAGAGTTTCTGGGTTTTCAGATAAATTCAGTAGAAATGATGTTCTATCTACCAACAGAAAAGGTATCTCAGATAAAAACAAAATGCAGAGAAATGTTAAGTGCAGACATTGTGATAGTAAGACAATCAGCACAGTTGACAGGAAAGCTGTCATCCTCTATGCAAGCAATATTTCCAGCAAATTTGCAAAGTTGTTTTCTTCAAATGGATCAAATAAAGGGTCTGTTGAAGGGAAAGTCCTACGAACAAAAAATAATTCTCTCACAAACAGCAAGAGACGAATTAATTTGGTGGGTAACAAAAATAGAAGAGTTCAATGGAAAGGCAATAATAATGCCTTGTCCAGATATTGTGATCACATCAGACGCCTCAAATTTAGGCTGGGGGGCTTCTTTTCAAGACGAAAGTACAGGTGGCATATGGGGAAAGCAAGAATCAAATTTCCATATCAATGCAAAAGAACTATTGGCAGCTTTTCTTGCAGTGCAAACATTCGCAAAAGAAAGTCTTCATTTGGCCATTCATTTAAGAATAGACAATATTTCAGCAATATCATACATAAACAGAATGGGGGGCACAAAATCAAAAGATTTAAATCAAATAATGAAAAACATGTGGAACTGGTGTCAGGCAAGGAAGATAAGTCTCACTGCAGAGCACCTCCCAGGGAAAGAAAATCTTATAGCAGACTGGCACTCGAGAAATATAAACTACTCCAGCGATTGGAGTCTAGATCAAAATATTTTTCAACAAGTTCAAGAACAAACAGGTCCCCTAGAGATAGATCTGTTTGCTTCACGACTAAATTTCAAACTGAAAAAATTAGTGAGTTGGAAACCAGATCCAATCAGTCATGCGATAGACGCATTTCTGATGCCATGGACAACAATAAAGGGCTATGCCTTCCCCCCTTTTTCAATGATAGGTCGCTGTCTTTCCAAAGCCAGGAAGGACAAGGCAATGTTATAAGTAAAAGCCCCTGCATGGCAAGCACAACCATGGTATCCAATGTTATTGGAAATGTTAATACAAGATCCAATAAAAATACCAATATTTCCAAATCTTTTGATGTCACCCCAGGGGGAACCACACCACTGATTCAAACAGGGTCTCTCAATCTTGTGGCATGGAAAATTTCAGGGGACGAAGTACTACAGTGGGACTATCAAAAGCAGCTGCAGAGTTGCATGAAAAAGCATGGAGACCAGGAACCCAACTTTCTTACAAGAGCTCCTGGGGAAAACGGGTCAGCTGGTGTAGTGAACAATCAGTTAATCCTTTTCAGGCCCCTCTGGCCACTGTAATTGAATTTCTTACAAAATTGTTCAAAGATGGTTTACAATATAGAACAATAAATACTTATAGGTCTGCAATTTCAAAGAATCATCCATTAATTGATAGTTTACAAGTAGGAAAACATCCTCTTATTATTCGACATATGAGAGCCATTTTCAATGAAAGGACACCAACGTCAAAATATGAGTTTTCTTGGGATGTTGATATTGTCTTGAATGAAATTTTATCATGGGGTACAAATCAAGCTTTAGACATTAAACACCTTTCATGGAAGTTAGTGATGTTGTTGGCACTATCTTCAGCTGGTAGAGCATCTGAAATAGGCATGTTAAATTGTAAATATATGAAACAACAAGGTTCACAAATATTGTTTGAGTTACCAAAACTAACCAAAACTTGTCGTCCTGGTTCTAAAACTAAATCAATAGCTTTCAACTCTTTCCCTAATGAAAAGAGTTTATGTGTTGTTACTTGCATTAATGACTATATGTCTAGCACACAATCATGGAGAGAACAAGGAGATAATATTGATAGATCGTGGCTCCTTTTGAGTGTTGTTAAACCTCATCATCATATAGTTCCTTCATCAGTTGCAAGATGGTTAAAAGAGACAATAAAAAAATCTGGTTTCTCATCCCTTTTTACTGGTCATTCGACACGTTCAGCCTCTACTTCAAAGGCAAAACGCGTTGGATTATCTACCCAAGATGTAATAGATCAGGCAATGAAAGTGTTCCCTCCCTCCCTTGCCTTTAATCACTTTCAATTTTATCGGTTATTCTATTTTATTTACTAGATATACTCACTATTCACATCTTACATTCTATCTCTGTATTTTGCAGATCTGGGAAGTAGAACCAGGGAACAGGGATAAATTCCTAACAGTCCAAGAAGTACTGGTGGGACCAAGAAAGATCGATGACCAAGATTGGACCAGGAGTATCAAAATAAATGATATTAAATGTTTTGCTTTGTTTAGAGTATTTTTATTTCAGTGTTCTAAAATAGATAACACAAAAAAACAAAAAACAAAAAAAAATACACAAATGTTAACAGGTTTATAAAATCAACAAGAAGTACATAATTGAGAAATGTGGTATAATATAAATGAGACAATTATCCACTGAAGGACATGTTTTCTTTATTGGGGTTTATTGTCAGTCGTTTCCTGAAGTTTATTTTTGATTGGTTTCGTTGAGCCTATGTTTAGATTTTGCAGTCAAATTCTTTTTTCTCTTTACTGGACGCTCTTCAGTAAGAGAATGAGGAAATGCACGTGGAACATGCATTATCTTAGGGATTGGCTAGTCAGGCTGCGTGCGCAGCAAGAGATAACACTTTCAGGTCTTGTTTCGGTTATTCATAAAATTAGAATTCCATTTCGCACACTTCGTGTGCTTATGAAATTCCAAATTGTCCGCCGTCTTATACTCCATCATTAAAATTGCAAGACAAGGCGGACAATAAGCAAGAAACAAAAAAAAATTCGTAAGGGTTCCGCGGAACCCAGTGTCTCGCCTACTTTTTGCTGTTAATCACAGGCTCAACAAAAATGAGGAAAAAAATTAATAAAAATATTCCTCTCTATACTATCTTTTGATTGTAAGTAGCTTCTGTCCAAGTTTGGTAAAAATCCAGGATAGTTTATGAATCTAATAAATGTTTTAAAAACTTAAACTGCAGACTATATGTAATGTTAACTGGAAGAAAAACTAAGTCCATCTATAAGTAAAATACGGAAAAAATGGAACAAAATTTCCTTCTAGATACTAGCTTTTAATCATAAACAAGCTTCTGTCCAAGTTTGGTACAAATCCAGGATAGTTTAAGAAAGTTGTTAAAATTTTAACACTTTAACCACAGAGTGAATGTAATGTTAACTGGCAGAAAAGTCCATTTATAAGTAAAATACGGAAAAAAACGGATTTTTTTTTTACAAAATTTACTTGTTGATACTATCTTATGATCATAAACAAGCTTCTTTCCAAGTTTGGTAGAAATCCAGGATAGTTTAAGAAAGTTATTAAAATTTCAAAAACTTTAACCACAGAGTGAATATTTGTGGACAACGACGACGACGGAATGTAGGATCGCTATGTCTCGCTTTTTCGACAAAAGTCGAAGGCTCGACAAAAAACTCAATTTTGCAATGTTTGTTTATGTTCCACCATCTTTGTTATTGAAATTGTAGAGGACACCCTTTTTTCTTTTCAAAACTCTTATCATTTACCTAATCCATATTAATATGAAATTCTCAGTTCTAAAGCTTGTTATAAAGTCTGAAACAGTAAGCATTGTGTAATGAACATACCTTTTCTTTTTCTTTGGAAATATTATAGGTTTTCTGTTTTTAACTTGAGTCACATCTGAAATGATAAAACAGTTTTCTTACTTTTTTTGTCATGGCATTAATCATGCACATACATTTTCTGTTTGGGAATAGTTGTATTGTACTGGACAATTCCTGATTCTGTACAGATACAATAACTTTGCCCAAATTCCACCAAAGAGGACACAACCTGCTTTAATCATAGTTTGTAATTATTTGATAAGAAAATCCAACCACTTCAATAACATGTATTACCTTCTTAAATTGTTGAATTTGTTAAAACAAGAATGTGTCCATAGTACATGGATGCCCCACACGCACTATCATTTTCTATGTTCAGTGGACCGTGAAATTGGGGTCAAAACTCTTAATTTGGCATTAAAATTAGAAAGATCATATCAAAGAGACCATGTGTACTAAGTTTCAAGTTGATTGGACTTCAACTTCATCAAAAACTACCTTGACCAAAAACTTTAACCTGAAGCGGGACAGACGGACGGACAAACGAACAGATCGAAAAACATAATGCCCCACTTAGGGAATGCTAAGATTGAAATGCGGTTAATTCATTCACAAGATTAATGTACATAATGTAATAATGTGTAACTACTACACATACATGTACATGTAAATTAAGCTGCTTTCTTATTCAAAAACATACAGGATATTACAGTTATGACAACTTACAATGTGCTTGATTTAAAGTTACCAAGAAATAACATTTGCATTTAGATCAAATTTTCTATAATAAGTTGAGATCTTTTTGACAAAAAGTATAAATTCATTAATTATATCACTGTATACAATCATGGGAAATACATGAATTAAACATGTTAAAGCCATTTCAATTGATATTTTATAGTGTGTTTTTCTATGTTGTGATGTTACACTATTGTTTCAGATAAGGGTGAAGGTTTAGTACCATTAAAACGTTTAAACCCGCTGCAATTGTTTGCACCTGTCCTAAGTCAGGAATCTGATGTTCAGTAGTTGTCGTTTGTTGATGTGGTTCATAAGTGTTTATCGTTTCTCGTTTTTTATATAGATTAGACCGTTGGTTTTCCCGTTTGAATGGTTTTACACTAGTAATTTTTGAGGCCCTTTATAGCTTGCTGTTCGGTGTGAGCCAAGGCTCCGTGTTGAAGACCGTACTTTGACCTATAATGGTTTACTTTTATAAATTTTGACTTGGATGGAGGGTTGTCTCATTGGCACTCATACCACATCTTCTTATATCTATAAAGACAGGAAATAAAATATAGCTTCATGTATATAAAGGTGATTTTAGGGAGCAACCATTTAACTTCAAAGAGGGTTAGTTATGGTTATTTGTCTGAGTCAGAAATTTTTTTAGTTCTTCGACGCTATCAATCAAATTATTTTTTTCAATATTTAACAATATAAGGTATGGGGAAAATCTGGATTCAGAATATTTTTTTTTTGTTATCTGCTTGACCACAATAATTTTTTTCCATCAAATTGGGAATCAAAATATTTTTTTTGGAAAAAACCATAACCCCCCCCCCCCCCACAAACACCACCACCTTGAAGTTAAATGGTCGTTCCCTTACAGTTATTGGCCATTGTATCATTGTTCATTTTCAAACTCCATAAGTCTTTTTATGAACATACTGGATCCAAGAGAGACATTGGAAAATCATGTACATGTACTTTTATCGAAATATAGGCAACATTGTCAAAAACAAATTTGAAAAATATGCTTAAAAAGGGGTCTAGTCACAATGTACACTTTTCATGATCATCATTGCAATTCCATGTTTTAGAGTAGTAATCAATCATCAATCTAAACAAATTACTATTACCTGTAACACCTGCAGTCTGAACACATCTCTGACAGTGTAACAATGGTGATCTGAAATATAAATATTGTAGGTTACTACTGTGTGCTGAGGCATAACACACAATACCAGATACCAATCAATAGCCAAAATTGGATAAACTGCAATGACTTGATTAAATTTAAATGAGTTACCATGATGAAAATGATGTTGACACTATATTTGTTTTATTAGTAACATGCATTTCGTTACAGTTTCATGACATGAGCTTATGAATTCACAGGCACTGTTAATGAACTTTCAAATTATTTTGTTGAAGTCCCAAGATATATTAAAAAACATGAGTCCAGTGTTCTTCCCAGGTTTTTTGATACAGCAGTCTTTTCCAATATCGTGTCTATTGGGACTATGGGTACAATGTCAAACATAAAGCAGAAGAGCATCATATGATTTCCCGCAAATTTGTTGTATCTGATTACCAAAAGAATACATGTATTGGCAGTTACATAACTAACATTTAAAAAAAAGATCTGTATTATTTTAAAATGAGTCTAGAGCTTATTCAGATACAATTCTAAAGCAAACAAGTCAGGAACCTCTGGCCATTGTTACTCTTGTGTTTTTTTTTTAATTTTGGTTCATTTATATGTTTCGGAGTTTAATGTGGCCAGGTCAGGTTGTTGTCTCTTTGACACATTGCCCGTTTCCATTCTCAAATTTTCTGGGAAAACTCACCTGATCAATTAGGCAGATTTCTGTATCTGAAAAGGACTTGGATACACGAAGATAAAGAATAAGACGATTTAGCATCTTCATCTGAGCTGGGTCGGATAGAAATTGACATTATGCAAATGAATATCAATTCATCTGTTAACATATATATATTTCGAGTTGAAAAAGTTTCTATGCAAAATCTGCAACTGTTTGAAAATTGATTTGATATAAGAACCCTACAAAACAAACATAAATTCATATTTTATTTCGTATTTCAATTTTTCAAGACCAAACAGACTATAACTTATATACACCAATCTCAAGTTGTTTTTTTATGAAACAGTTTCACCAGTTGACCAAGGGTCAATCAGCGTAAAAGGAGTCTTCGAACAAATGGTTCTTACTGTGAAGTAATATGCATTGTGACATGGGAAATTTAGGGGAAGTGCACAAATTCAACAGTCGACTATACACAAAACATCACAATACAACAAAGTTTCAAATAAGACAAGTACACATAAACATAAAATGTTAGCATATACAATTTTAAATAAGATACATAAACATAAGCATCAGATTAAGTTTTTTTTAAAGTATTGGCCTTTGCAAAAAGGCAGTGTCTGCGCGACCCCGCATGCAGGGATGAGTAGTCAAATTGGCCTTCATAGGCTATGCGTACCTGCATCCGGTTTTATAATCAAATGTCGTCAGATCAGGAATAAACGTGAAATAAAAGTGGAAAATGATCGCAATAAGTGAATACTTTGATTACTCACAGAAATGAGAAACTTCCCTGGTTAATTTCTATATATATATTTTTCCTTTAAATATTAACTTTAATTATTGATATAATCATGATAATGGAATCTATGATAAAAAATAAATAAATGAGAATCAAATTAAAAAGTATTACAAACAAGTGAGAAAATCAACAAAATAAAAACAGTTTAAATTCTTAAAATAAACATGATAAAGATATGAATAAAAGAGATTATCTATACATATATATAACACATCATTAATTCAAATTAATTTATTCATCTTACATAACATTTCAACCTACATGTATATATGAACACCTTAAATATTTTATTACATTTCAGGTGCAACAATAGAAGTAGTAAAAGATGAATTTGGAGGTCGGAATGGATACATGTATATAATTATCAAATGCATCTATTTTTATACGTATGAATTTGTTTTTATTACTTGCTTCTTTAATTTATGTATACACTCAAGCTTTATTTTTAGTTGTTTTAGATATTTTAAAATTTTGGTTTCTGTTTCGCATTTTACTAGAAAATTATTTTCACACTCAAGTTTTTTGCCCTTTGATAAGGGACATTCGGTTTTGAATTTTCCTTGGTATTCCGTAATTTTTTTCAATGTTTTTTTTACTTTTTTACATATCTTTTTTTTCAAATTCATTATAATTTTATTAATTAAATGTGCAATCACATTTAATTTCAATTTATTTCTTTTAAAGGGACAGTAACAGTTTTATTCCTTTAGTGTGCATCTAATTCGCAATGTTTATTATGTATTTTTAACTAATACATAGAAATTAAAAATTATTATATGCCATTCTCTTCACTGAATTCACAAAATCTGCAAATTACCAATAATTTCCATGTATATTTCACGTTCCACTCTCGACCCGATGACATTTTCTTATAAAACCGGATGCGGGTACTCATAGCCTACGAAAGCCAATTTGGCTACTCGGCCCCACATGCGGTAGTGCATGTGAACTTTCTATTCCAGGATATGATTTTTTGGATCTTCTGTAGTTGGTGATCGCAATACTGGTACATGTATACTGGTATAAAAATTTTGTACCAGTATTGTAACTTTTTAGAACAAAAAAACAGCAATACTGGTACATAACTGATAATCCAGTATTGAAGTTGTATTGTTGACTATACTTTAAGGTGTATAATAAAAAAATGAATTTTAAGCAAAATTAGATATTGAAGATCAAAGGGGGATTAAATGAACTCAAAAAGATTTTTTTTCTGAAACTCCATAGTAAAAGTGGCACATAAAAGGAGAAAATAGCATTGTTTGTATTTTTTTACAGAAATGCAAATAATTTATCTGAAATAAGTGCCTGTGACCTGAGACTACAATAACACAGTATAGTTATTGTGGTAACAAGAGCGCAATTATTTGTTTACATTTTACCAGCAAGTTTTTTACCACAAGATGGTACTCAGAATAGATTGGCTTCTGATTGGATGACACAGGATTGGAATTACATTTAATCGAAAGCTTATCCAATTAGGTTTTAATAAAATGCTTCGCTGGGGCGCAGCTTGATACGACCGCAGAGGTCGAACCCTGAACAGTTGGGGCAAGTATGGACACAACATTCAAGCTTGATACAGCACTGAATTTGGATTGTAATTAAATATTTGACACAGCATAGGTTTCTGACACAGAATGAATGTGGTCTAAGAACTTAAAAATTTTTAATTTATCTATTCAAACCATATCATTATTATTTGCTTTTATATATAAATCAGAAATAACCAATTTAAAATGGAAAATTTCAAAGAAAAAAAAGGAAAAAAAAATCCCCCTCCCCCCAATATTTTTTTAACCCCCTTATGATTCATCACCCTCAAACACAATCCCAGCCTTCCCTTTGTGGTTAGTACCTTGCAGTACATATGATGGACTGTGAAACTAAGATCAGGAGTTTGGGAAATTTTGGTCAGGAGATTAGGACTCAGATCAGGAGGTTTTTAATCGACATAAATTCTGTCGTAAATGTAACCGTGTGCTGTAGAAATTGTCTGTTAAAGTGTGCTTTCTTCAACTTTCCATCCGAATGTATTATGTTTATAGTACCCTTGTACTTATAAATTTTCTCTATCTTTTTAAACTTTCAACTTGTTCAATCTAACATTCTTCTTTTTAAGTATGTTCTTTAAATTTTTTAGGTCATATCTTTTTTTCCATTATTCATTGCAATAAGAATATTTGCTTATCTATCTGCAAGTAGATCTTTTATTTTAATCTTTATGCATGTAGATTTTTAATGCATGATAAGTAACACATTCAAACTGGATTCATGGGTCATAGTTAATATATAAATTTCAATTTAAGCCTTGAAAGGAAGTATAGAACCCTCAAATAATTTTCAAATTATTATTTTTTTATTTGTCCTAAGACATTTAAAATCATTTAATTACCATCCTTTTATGATTATTTGTTCAATTTATATTTTATTTATATTCTTTTAAAAATTTACATTATTTAAAGGAAAGTAACTTAAAACAGGATAAATCAAGGGAAGTAACCCAACATTCATTTATAAATATACAAAGTTTTATTACACAACGGCAGTTAGCCTGATGTAAAAATCGTTGATTACCAGTATGTTTGACACCCAAGGTGACAAGTGAAGCCATATAATTATCATGTTAATTGATTTACAGGTAAAATATAACTTCAGGTAATGTCAGTTACACCAGATATGTTGGGCTGAAATTTTTCATTCATGAAATATTTCATACACAGGATTTTTTTGTCTTCAACGGGAGGTCGGGAGGAGACCCCTGAAAACGGGATTATTGTATTCCCTTCGGGAGGTTCACATGTATGATTACTGTACAATTTCAGGGAGATCAATACACTTGAACAAAAGTTATTGTCTGGAAACTAGAAAAATGCTTATTTTTTGGCCCCTTTTTGGCCCAAAATTCCTAAACATTTACGGCAATTACCCCCAAACTCAAACCCAGCTTTCCCTTTGTGATATGGAACCTTGCAGTACAATTTCATAAAGATCCATACACTTGCACACAAGTTATTGTCCTGAAACTAGAAAAATGCTTGTTTTTTGCCCCTTTATGGCCCCTAATTCCTCAAATTTCTAGGGATTTAACCCCAAAATCAATCCCAGCCTTTCCTTTGTGGTATGGTACCTTGCAGTACAATTTCAGAGAGATCCATACACTTGAACAAGTTATTGTCTGGAAACTAGAAAAATGCTTATTGTTGGCCCCTTTTTGGCCCCTTATTCCTGAACGTTGTGGGAAATTACCCCCAAAATCAATTCCAGCTTTCCCTTTGTGATATGGAACCTTGTAGTACAATTTCATAAAGATCCATACACTTACACACAAGTTATTGTCATGAAACTAGAAAAATGCTTGTTTTTTGCCCCTTTTTGGCCCCTAATTCCTAAAATTTGGAGGCAATTACCCCCGAAATCAATTCCAGCATTCCCTTTGAGATATGGAACCTTGTGGAACAATGTCAGAGAGATCCATACACTTGAACACAAGTTATTGTCATGAAACTAGAAAAATGCTTGTTTTTTGCCCCTTTTTGGCCCCTAATTCCTAAAATTTGGAGGCAATTACCCCCAAAATCTATCCCAGCATTCCCTTTGTGATATGGAACCTTCTGGTACAATGTCAGAGAGATCCATACACTAACACACAAGTTATGTCTGGAAGTTACAAAAATGCTTATTTTTGGCCCCTTTTTGGCCCCTAATTCCTTAACTGTTGGTACCATAACCCCCAAAATCAATCCCCACCTTCCTTTTGAGGTATTGAACCTTATGGTAAAATTTCATAGAGATCCATTCACTTAAACTAAAGTTAGAGTGCGAAAACCAATGTGTATTCGGACGACGACGCCGGACGACGACGACGACGACGCCAACGTCATACCAATATACGACCACAAAATTTTTTTGCGGTCGTATAAAAATGCAGAAAATCATATTCACATTTTACAAAGTATGGAAAATATCTTCCATTTCTGCATGTCGGAGCCATTAAAAATATGCCTTTTTCATTAAGCGAAAAAAATAAACGATCTTTTTCAACTGCATTTTAAGTCAATTTTTGCCGCATGACCATATATATTTTTTTGGTTGTAATGCAACACTGGCATTTCTAGTAACAGGAACTGCTACCCGTTTTTCCCTATTTTGTGTAGTCTTTGAGGGAACAAATACGGAACACCAGTGGTACCCTATGGAAAATGCATTACGAATAATTGAGCTCTTGTAACCTAGTACTAGTAGTCTCAGCTGTGACTGTGAAAGTGAGTTCGGGTGCAGGTCGTTTCGTAACCTGGTCGTTTCGTAACTAGTCGATTCGTAACTTACTAGGTCGTTTCGTACCTGAGACGTTTTGTAACCTTATATCAATATATAATAACAATATGAGTAGCAGGTTACGTAAAAAATAATAAAAAGACTTATTGATGTATATATATATATATCTATATTTATTTATTAAATAATTGATTGCACATAAATTTACACTTTACAAGTACAGTTTTGCACACATGCGAATAGAACAGAAGAATTTGAATTGTCCATCATCATTTATATGTACCCCGTCTTTATCAAAGTATTTAGTCTTCTGCCACATGCTTTGATGTCTCAAATACTTGCCACCACTCATCTCAGTTATGTTGCTTAGTTCTTTATTTATCTTCTTTTTTTTTTCTATCATAAGTTGTTTCTTTCATGTTTCTTGTTTTTAGTCTGACGATGTTGGAGCCTATAACTACAGAACGAACACCTAAGGGCTTGACATCTTTTGCAAGTTGTACAATCTCTGATGCTGTGTGTGATGCAGATTATTTATCACAGATATCATTCTCTCCAATCTGTATGAAAACAAAGTCTGGTTTAAATTTCTTCACTATGTGGAGATCAAAATGTCTCAATGACTGTACTTTTCTTCCACCTACCCTGGCCGTGAAGCTTAAACTTTGTTTCGACAGAACTTGATAAGTCGGATTGCGTTCTTAACAATAACATCCAATTTTCCAGTCTTCGGATGAAACTCTGACCGATCACAAGTACTTTTTCATTTAAACTAATTAATTTAAACTAACACTTTATAAGGGGACGAAGTCCCCTATTACAGTAGAAAAATCAATAAAAAAAAAAAAAAAAAAAATCGGGAAAATTTCCCGAAATTTTCATTGTACTAATGAACTGAAAATCGTTAACTTTTTTTTTGTAACTTTTTTAAATTCCCGCATTTGCGCAGAAATCTACTTCCTTCTTCCGGTCTCGTTTGTCATGAGACTTTGAGTGAATCATATATTTATCAGTCCAGTAAAATATAGGAAGGAACACAATAACAATTTCATTTCTAATTAATCTTTGATATGAAAAAACGTTACCTGATGATAGCGTTTCTTTGTTTACATTGAATATGACGTAATAATTAAAATCACGTAACAACTAAAATCCCTAACAACAGAACCAAAACCGGAAACGTTACGGTATTTCCGTTTCTTTTTTTAACAGATTTAGAACTTAAAATATGTTTGAATTAAAAAAAAAAATTTATATAGACTTCGTCCCCTTTCACAGGTAATGCCTGCCTCATATTAACCATATATAATTACACCAGGTACGAAACGTCTCAGTTACAAAACAACGTAGTTACGAATCGACCAGGTACGAAACGACCAGGTTACGAAACGACATGCATTCGTGAGTTCATCTGACTGCTCGTGTCATGAAAATACACTCTAAGCAATCTTGCGTTGTACTCCAACAGTTTCAAATCTTTTAAGTTGTGAATAAAATGGTACTGTATACCTGTTGCATATGTTTATGCTTTGAATTTTGATTAAATGTGCAAAGGAAATTTTTCCTATGCAAGCTGCCATTTCAAACGTTTCATTGACAACCGAAGTTAGATTGACGTTTAATCAAATGGATAATAAAAGATGAAACTATTCAGGAAGTGGAATGTTTTATTTCCGTATTCAATGCATCACGTCGGTCATATTTGGATCGAAATGACCATAAATTGTTCTCGGCAAATTTTAGCAAAGAAATCCAATTACTGTATGATTACGTTTTATAAAGATTTATATATAAAAAAAGAGGCGGAAGATGGTCACAATCCGTTTTTTTATATTTATTCCCGATATAAGATATTACAGAGTTGTCTCATTGGCAATCATACCTGCGGCATCTTCTTTTTAATATATGCTATAGAAAATACCAAAATCGAGACATTCAAAGCTCATAAGTCGAATAGAAACGGACAACGCAATGACCAAACTGTGACGAAACACGATGAAATGACAAAACTGTGACGAAACACGACGAAATGACAAAACTGTGACGAAACACGACGAAATGACAAAACTGTGACGAAACACGATGAAATGACAAAACAACAGTCTACAAAACACTACACAAAGCCTAGCCCACTATTAACCGGGGGTGAACTCATGTGCCCCGTAAGAGCCGAAACCCTGCTTCACTTGTGACACCACACAACGTGTTATTTCTCAAAAACTCAAGTTAAATCAATAATGATCACACAATAGTGGATTAGTCATTGACATTTGACATCAAAGAATTCGTCTATGTATACATCAGTTTCAAGGTTATTTGCGAAGGCGTTACTATGAAGGAATTTCTTGATGTCTCTACATGCTGAGTGCCGTCGGCTAATATTATGGAAAGCCTCAGCTGTCATATATTAGAGATTTACAAAACGTTATGCTGAAGCTTAAAATGTAAAGTTAAGACAGCGTGGTGTTGAATTGAGTCATCAAAATGCTAACTTTAAATTACAATTTGCTAAGTTGAATTTGCGCAATGTTGACTTGCAAGGACAAGTGCTTTAGTCGTGATAGTATAATGATAAGTCACGATGTTGTGATGATATGCCAAACACACGTAACGTTGGGTTTAAAGTACATAATGTGAAGTTGACGTTGCATGATGTTAGCTTGCAGATGGATACTGCTCAGTCATCCACTTCGATAGCTATGATAACAAATAAAATGAATAGCTAAACCGTGTATGGTGCTGACTTGTTATTAATAAATGTTGAGCTGAGATAGTACAATGTTATATCATTGTGATATTACGATAGGTCTATCATGCAATCTGTTGATTTAAAACACCATGATGCACAGTTGAAAGTACATGATGTTAAGTTAAGATAACACGATGCTACACCACTATATTGAAACGAAAGGCTTACCATACAATTTGTTGACTTAAAACAACACGATGCAACGTGTTAAGCTAAGATGCTCACTTGAAACTACACGACGTACAGTTGAAATTTCGTAATGTTAAGCTACGATAGCACGATGGTATATCATTATAATGTCACAATAGGCTTATTATACAATTTGCTCATTTAAAACTACACAACGTACAGTTGAAAGTACGTAATGTTAAGTTAAGATGGCACGTTGTTATATCATTAGAATGTCACGATAGGCTTACCACACGATATGCTCGTTTAAAACTACACGACGTACAGTTGAAAGTACGTGATGTTGAGCTAAGTTGCAATATCTTATATCATAATAATATCGCGATAGGCTTGCCATACAATATGCTCATTTAAAACTACACGACGTACAGTTGAAAGTACGTTTTGTTCAGCTAAGACAGCACGATGTTATATCATTATAATGTCACGATAGGCTTATTATACAATTTGCTCATTTAAAATTACACCACGTACAGCTGAAAGTACGTGATGTTAAGCCAAGATAGCACGTTGTTATATCATTAGAATGTCTGGATAGGCTTACCACACGATATGCTCATTTAAAACTACATGATTTTCAGTCCAAACTAGGTGATGTTAAGCTAAGATAGCATGTTGTTATATCATTTGAATGTCACGATAGGCTTTCCATACAATATGCTCATTGAAAACTACACAACGTACAGTTGAAAGTATGTGATGTTGAGGTATGATAGCACGATGTTATATCATAATGATATCACGATAGGCTTGCCATACAATATGCTCATTCAAAACTACACGACGTACAGTTGAAAGGACGTGTTGTTGAGCTAAGATAGCACGATGTTATCTCATTATGACGTCACGAGAGGATTATCATACAATGTGTTGACTTGAAACTACACGATGTAAATTTGAAGTAGTTTGGTCTTGACTTGAAACAGTAAAATGTTAAGTTATAAAAACAGAACGTAAAGGCAAAATAAAACAATGATAGGATGACATATACTTGTGCAGAATTGAGGATTTTTGGTGTTGACTTCGAATATAGTACAAATATTACATCGTTTAATGTATAATTGAAAGACAATAATGATGCGTAAAACATTACAGAATTATGTGAATTGAAACTGCAATTCTATGGAAAAGAATGAGGACAAATCCCCAGGATTTTTTCTTCCTCATTTGCAAGTTCTGAGGCAAAATGATATACAAAGAAAGTTTTCCATAAATTCATAAAGCAAAAGAATTGCCCATCGCTATATATTACACTTGAATACAGTTTTGCCGTATATTTTACATGTTTTGTTTGGATTTTTTTTTATGATTAAAAACCAGACTTTTTTTATGAACAATATTTAAGAAAATATGTATCTATGTTGTGTGTTAATAAATACAACACAATAATGGGCTTATAAGACTTATGACTGTGAGGGTCAAATTTTATTCATATAAAATCACATCTATGTAAGAGTTATCGGAGAATTTGTATTTACCATGCACTCCCGTTTTCCCCGAAATTAAACATAAGAATCCGGAGTCTTAATCTTAAAAAAAAACATGATCAACTGATATGACAAATAATACGCTAAAGCGTAGGACTGAGAGGGTCAGAGCTATTTGAGAATGTGCCCCCCCTTCCCTTGTTAGAGGTATCTGAAAATTTGAATTTTCTTTTCCACGAAATAAAACAAAAAGAATTGATAGGTGGAAGAATCCTACTGCATGGGGCCAACCCAAACATAAAGTATGGTAGATTCTGTTGTATACTTTTCGCTCATACATTAAGTCTATATGAAACCAAATGAAATTTGACCTAGAGCCTCCAGTCTAAATCGTCAACTTTAAAAAAAAAATACATCATTTACAGCAGTGCCAACCATTTTTCCAGCACCAAGTAAGATAGTGCCCAGGTTTATGTATATATCCACTCGGAGAATATCTTATTTTTTTAAATTGGTAAAGTCTTTAATGGACAATGACCCCTATAACTTAAAATAAGAAGCCAATTAATGATTTCCGTCACTTATTTTCTTGTCCATAGTGATTTTCTTGGTTCTTTGCAGCTTCTCTCCATCTATATGTGTTTTCAAAGAAAAAGAAAAAAAATCAAAAATCTGTAAAAATTGTTAAAGTCCATGAATTCTTTTGGTATTGCTTTGATTAATTTGTAGATATGTTTTTTGATGTCAACAGTTTCTCTCTCTCTCTCTCTCTCTCTCTCTCATAGTTTTCATGAGTGTGGTCTAAATTAAAATCGGTAGATTTTTTTTTTAATTATTTTCCGAAAATGTAGTTTATTCTTTTTTGAAAAACATAATAAAAAGTTTGGGCCACAGAGCATTTTGCAAGCTACAGGTTATGCAGTATTGTCAGATTTTGTATAAACTATACATGGAAAACTCAATGTTAGAAAATAAAAATAAAAATTGGGATCACGAGACTCGTTTTCTGTCTACAAAATAAAATAGTTAAGTCCCTACACATTCCATCATTAGAGACGAAATATGCCAAAGGGATTTCAAACACATAAGTCGAAAACAGACTGACAATACCATGGCAAAAAATAAAAAATAAAATAAAAAAACGACAAAAAATAATGTTATCCGAGTTATCTCCCCTATATGAAAAAGTTGAAAAACATATGCAAAAAACAATATTTAAGAAAATATGTATCTATGTGAGGGGCTAGGATGAAAAATTTTGTCCTGCCTTTTTTTAGTTGTTTTTAGTTGCAATCTCTGTCCTGCCTTTTTATTTATCACTCTATTCGGTCCTGCATTTTTTATTTTTGTATTAGTTTATTCTGACTTTTTTTTTACATAAATTGTCATCCTGCCTTTTTTTTTTAGCCAAGTTGCTCATCCTGCCTTTTTTTTTTACTCAAAACTCCTGTTCTGCCTTTTTTCAAATTTCATCCTAGCCCCCCAATTAAAATCAAATGGTAGCTCTCTAAGATGGCGGAAGACACCCGATCTACCCAAAGGGCAATATATCTAATGAGGAAGAAATTTACAATTTCGGTTACGTCGAGTTACTTGTAGCTCTCCTTTTGTTGAAAAGGGTTTCTTTTTTCATTCATCCATCTATTGTACTGTTCAGGGGGAGGGGAGAATCGAAAAAAAAAAAATACACAAAAATGGATAAAAGAAGGCGAACGATACAAAAGGGATAGTAAAAATATTAACCAAACTGACAATGTCATGACAAAAACTCATCAGCCGAAATAAACGAGAGAAAAAAGACCAAAAGCCAAACAACAGTATATTAAGCGCAACATATAGAAAACCAAAAACTGAGTAACACGAAACCCTAAAAAAAGGGGTGATCTCAGGTGCTCCAGAAGGGTAGGCAGATCCTGTTTCATATGTGGCACCCGTCACTTGGCGATTTTGCAAATAAGAAGGAATGTGTTATAATTTTCGAGGAACTCCCAAAAAAACACGATTTACAGGGTGTCAAATCGATGAACGTGCTTAAAATAGTCTCCTTTTCGTAAAAAAGAATTGATGAAAATGTATTTGTATTTAGTGTACAGTGGCAAATATTACATGCATATAAGGACGAGAATATGTAAGTGTGATATGACTATGAATAAATCTTGGCTCTGTACAAGACCTATTTTGCTTGCTTAGCCGAATTTTTAACAAACTAGTTGACAAACCGTCTCTGACAATCTATGGAA